GAAGGGATGGCAGAGAGAGTATGGATTATGAATTTATAAAAAGCTTAAAGAGCGCAAGGGCTGTTTTGACATTTTCCTTCTGCCCGAGAGGGAGGCAGGCGAACGTTGAAAATTTTTAATCTAGCTGCTTAAGCAACCCCTCGCGGCGGCAGCGGTGGCGACGGCTCAAATCTTGCAGCCCTCTTAAGGTTTCAAAGGAAAAGCTTTAATGCACCTGAAGGGAGAAAAACGGAGAGAAGCTATCAAAGAGGGCAGAAAATAAATAAGTGTGTGTATGCTTATTTTGCTTTGTGCTGCAAAAAAAAGTACTGATTTCTTTTTCACACAAGATTGCTCATTCGCCGCTTACACCAATCAGACGGAGCTAATTCAATTTGAGCCTCGGCGAGCACAAAGAAAGGAAAAAAGTGGGATGGAGAAGGTCTTTGACGATTATATGCGAGAGGAAGAGGAAGGCAGTTTTGGTTGTGAAAAAATTCTCCTGCTAATTGGTTAAAGGAGCACGGTGATCATTGAAAAAAACTATATAACTTCAGATTTACTGGATTTTAAATAAAAAGAACGGGCGAAAACAAAGTTTTAGGAATTTTCAGATAAATGCTAGCCATCTATATTGAATTTTTTTTTTTGCCGTTTTTATAGATCAATAGTTATTTAAAATTTTGGAGTTTTTTTGTTAATTTTTTGTAATTCCAAAATTATACCTGTCATATAAAAAAATTGATTTTTTTATACAATTTTATTTTTCAATAATTTGGTGCGCTCGTTTCATCAAAAGAGCCGTTGGAACAATCGCGGACCACAAACGCGACGTTTTCGAACGTCACAAAGCGAGTGGCAATAATCGAAATAATTATATCGTACCTGTTGGGTGCCGCTCAAAGACTGGCCGACACATCATTTGCAGCAGCCGCCACCCCACAAACTGGTCCATTACTGCGCTCGATGGATTCATATGTGTACGAATTTGATTAAGGCCGCTCTTCTGGTAAGCCGTAATTCGAGGACCTGTTGTGGGCACGCATAATTGAACGTCAACATGTCGGTCTATGAATGGATAGAATTATTAAATGTGTTATGAATAATATTTTAATAACAATATATGTACATATTTCGGGTGGGTGAGTGCATAGGGTGGGTATATCACAACAGCGGCTCCGTTTTCAGCCCCTGCCGTTTCGCTTAACCCCGAGCCCTTTTGTGTGTGTATACACAGAGGGGGAGGTAGGGAGGGTTGCGAGCTAGCGATCATTCAGGTATGTCACTGACAGCAGCAGCAGCAGCCCTTTATTGTTTCTCGCCCCCCGTGGGCTTGTAATAATTATTGAGAAATCGCTGCTGCATGCTCGTGACGAGACGAGAAAAGCTTATTTGGATAAAAGCAGCAGCAGCAGCAGTTTTAATCAGCCAAATGCGAGACCGAGCCGCCGTAATTATCACAAGTACCCGGCGTTATTTCTCGCTTCTCTCTTTCTTTTGCACACTCCTTCTTTTTTGCGCGTTTGGGCTGCTCGTTATTTACTACTACACTTGCAAGTGCCGAACGAACAATGGATTTGCGATTCGCGCTCCGAGCTGCTTTCTTTCCTTCTGGTTGGCCGCTATTTTTTTTTCTCTCGCTCTTTATATATCATCGCGTTGTTATTACGATTGTGCTCCCGCGAGGCTCGTCCGCTGCCTGCGTGCGTTGGCCTGGAAAATTATGCACATTTTCGCACACGCCGCGCCTCTCAGTGCTCCTTCGGCGGAAAATCTGCAACCGCCGCGGGGACGTAATCGCGAAATAAATCCCGCAGAGTGCCTTGATTTCCAAAGGGCTCTGAAGTGCAAACCTCATCTTGGAACGTGTATTGTTTTAAAATCAGCAAATGCAAAAGTAAATTTTGATTTTGAATAATAAAGGTGGCAATCAAAAATTAAATCGTAAATAGAAAATAAAATTTTGATAAACGAACAGTAAATTTGGGAATTTCGTTAACAACTTATTTGATTTTTCATTAGTTTTGTTCACTTTAAAAGGAGCCAAAAGCCAAAATACAAATTAAAATATTGTGCAAAATTATGAAACTGAAATAATTAATCTACCTAGAAAAAGTTTGCTCCTAAAAACTTTCAATTTAATGGTCTGTTAAAAAAGGCTTTAATGAAATTAAAAGGAATCAACAGTCTCCACATCACTTATTTATTCAGTGGGAAAGCCATAAAATTTTTAATCAAATATTTATGAAGTAACTTTCCATCAAAAGTTAATTTTAAAAATTATTTTAAGCAATTTTCTGGGAAACCTTTGGTTCAAAGCCTCACGTGTTCTGTTCAAGAGTACTAATGACCGTTTCCAGTTTGCACTAATGCGATTTTCCTCCCTCCCTGTTTCTTTTTTTTTACCCCTGCAGCTTTTCGCTGTCCACTGTTGCATAACCGAAATCTCTGCGGACGCACGCACGGTGGGTGCGCTGCTGCGACCTCAAATAATTGACCATTGCTAATTGCTTCACACTTGATTTGCTCCCTCTTTTCCTTCCTTCCTTCTTTTTGTGTGCGAGGGAGATTAGAAAAAGAAAGCCTCTCTTCTGCTCAACAGGAGAGAGCTCGGGAAAAGAGACAAATTAATCGCCCTGATCCGGAAACGGAGACAGTTAGGAATCAATTCGAGAAGAGTTTGAAACACAAAATGGGAAAAGCAGGTCACGAGACGGGTTGCTCTCCAGGGAACGTTGCACCCCCATCTTGAGGACGATCTGCAAGTCCGACGAGAGTGCGCAAAAAATGTGCACGTTCTCCGGTGAAGTGCAAGGGAGGAAAAGAGACGCGCATCCGCATTAACGCTATTATTTCGCAAAGACTTTGCAATCAAGTAAGAATTTCATGTTGTGTGTTCTTGGGTGAAACTTGAGAATCGATCGTACTTTCTGCATAAATTAAAATAGTCTATAAAATAGAAGATTCCTTGCATTTAAATTTATGCGAAAAAACATATCTATAAAAAAAATGAATAATTATAAAATAAAGCGATTTTTTTATAGAATGTGGCCGCAAACAACGTAATTGATCTTATTCAGATATGTTTGTGAATAAATCTTATAAAAAAGTTAATTTTAGTTGTGTTAGTTGGTCAATTAAAATTATTAAATTATGCTTCGCCTACAGCGGAATAAAAATTTTACACCTAGGACGATTGAATGAAAAGTTTTATGACAAATTGATGAATCTTTGTAATTGAAACAAATTCGCCCAGAGCGCATCGCTCCCTTCTTACGGTTTTGCGAGCAGGGATCGATTTTTTGTGTGACCGCCGTTGTTACAAACCCCCGCACCATTAGGCCCGATTCGCGCAAAGCCGCTTTTCCGCACAAAAGCGGGCGCTTAAGATTCGAAAAATCCGCGGCGTTGCCACGCTTCGTCTTCTTCTTCTCGTCGTGTGTTATTATTTTTCCGCAGGCCGTCCGTACCTCCCTAATTAGTTTTGCCGATCAAAAAGCAGCAGTCGTAACTCAAGGGCCAGGTTAATTAGTCGGCACGTGCTCGGCGCAGTCGCCGCCTGGCGCAAAAATCGGCGGCCGCGCCGTGGCGCGCGGGGGCGTGGCCCACCAGGGGTGGCGCCTCCTCGGATTTAGAAGCACAGGTGCTGCGAAAAGGGTTGATGCGCTGCACCTGCACCCCTGCAACACGAGAAGACGCCGAATGCGAGGGGTCGGATTTTTTTTATTAAAATATGCGTCGGCGTGTGGAAACGCGAAAGCTCTTTGATCTCGCGGCGAATTAAAACAGTGGGGCGATTGCATCTGTCTCTCTCCTCCCGCGCCGTACATTCTTATTTGCAGCTCTTTGATGTCGCTCAACTGGGTCAAACTTAAAGTGGATGGATGTCACCCCATCCCTGGGGGGACTTGACCCTGCATGGGAAAGCAGCGATGCGCCCCGGATAATTATCTTCCCCGAGAGTTTGGCCGGACGTCCAGCGGCGGCTTCTCGCGCGCCATTACTCTGTTTGTCCGCGTACAGGACAGGGGGATGATGGACCCTCTCTCGATATATTCTTGTCTGGAGAAAGAGAGCAAATATTGCGTGAAATGGAAATCGCCAACACAAAGAGAGACTCTTTTGATCGCCTCTTGTTGATTTGAATCGCAAATTGTTGCTTCCTGCCCAAAACCAACAAAGGAATAGAAAATAGAATACTGTCTAGGGGATCAGAAATACATTAAATCTTGGAAGTTTTCTATGACTGTTTTTTTTCTTCAGTGATAATTAAAAAAAAAATTATCAGTGATAATCTAATTGACTTGTAATATACTTTGCTCTCATGTGCAAAATGCAATAAAAAAATCGCCGGTATGAACTCTTTCAAAATTTTGGTTTTAAAAGACAGTTGCAAATTTTTGCATGGTTTTATATTAACCAAAATTAGCAACATGCAGTTTGCAAGTTAAAATATTTATGTTCTTCACAGTGGCCAAATGCAATTTAATGAAACTTATTTTTGGTATTTGTAATGCTTCGAATTTTGAATTTTTATAAATGTTATTATGCTGTTGAAATTATTTTTTGATTTCAAGGTGCAAATGATTTCAAACTCATCGTTACAGTGTTAACGCAAAATTTGCGTTTTGGAATCACACGGTGATAATTTGATAACAAAGCGCTTTGTTTCGTCGGCGGCAAAGTTTGGCGGCGAAAAGGGCGTCGCGCCTGCCTCTTTTGCGGATGCTGCTTGGCAGATAAACGCGCTTTGCCTTCGACGACGACACACAGACAGAAACACCTGTTGGGAAAATTTAGTTTTGACTACACGAGCGCCGAGCAAAGCGAACGAGAGCTCTAATTCCATTATCCTAATTGCGGTGGCACTTGAACTTTTTCAAAGGCGAGAATAACCGACAACATTTGTTTTCCTTCAAAAGATCAAAAGAAACGTCATTGAAAAACAATTTGTACAATTTTTGGCAGATTTATTTTTTAATTTTGAGAAATATATTTATTAAATGAAATTTCTATTTTTGTTCCAGGCGGGGAAGATGGGATTGGCGTCTGGAGCGCCGGGCCTTCCTTTCTTCTGCCACAACGGTGATCACCTCACGCAGCCCCCGCCGGCCCACATGGGCATCCCCCCTTACCAGTTGGACACCAAGAGCGGCGCCATGGGTGAGTTGCGCAGATCAAAGTGTGTGCGCAGAGCGGCCACGGCTTTTCTTTCCCATTCGTGGAGAGGAAAAAATACGAGAACTTTCCCCGAGCAAAGGTATGCAACCCGCTCGGCTTGACTTTGGAATGCTGGGCTGTGCGGGTTGCATAAGCTTGGGTAAAACTAGAGTTTGAATTTTAATAAATATCCAGATATAAACATAATAATCAAAATCATATATAAGAATTTAAAAGGGATGTAAACGGTTTTACAAAGAAATTTTAAAATTTCTCAAACGATCTCAAATTTTAAATTGGCTTAATTTTCACAACGTCTGAGCACGTCTTGAGTATTATGAAAATGCCAGTAATAAATTATATAAAAATTCATAAACATTTTTGGATCTTTTCAACTTAATATTGTAGAAAAGAATTAATATTCCTAAAAATAAGTCAATTTCAACTTAAGTTAATATTAATGAATATTTTTGAAATGTACTCTAAGATATTTTACTAGTTCTTAACTGTTGAATTTTTCCAACATTTTTTACTAATATTTGCAAAAATCATTGCAAATCAAAGCAATTTGAGCTGCAGAACTTATCTCAATTTTATTTCATCTTTTAAATAAAAAAAAATGAACTGAAAATCTGAAATTAAAGAATTGAAATTAAATTTTAAGAATAGTTACCAAATTAACAGTGACTAATAACTTATAAAAACCATAATTCCGCTGGCCGCTCATTTTCGCCCAATTTTCGCGTCACGTCTCTTTGGTGTTTTTCTTTTAATTTTTTTAAAAATCATTTTTTTTTTTTCATTTAATTTTTGCCTTGTGATGTTTTAATTTTTGTCTTGAGTCAAACTTTTTGTGTTGTGTGTGACCTCGCAGGTGACTACTGGCGCGGACTGGGCCTCGGACTGGCCGCCGTAGCAGTAGGCGGTGCGCCGTCGGTGGCGCCGCCGGCGCCGCCGCCTCGGTGCCCGTCGTCGTCGCCAGCGTTGCCGCCGTCGCCGCGGCTGATGAGCCGGTCGTCGCCGGCCCCTGGGGGCCTGAGTCCCAACGAGTGGAAGCGGCTGTTGGCCACAGGTTGGCAGTTGGTGGTTGGAGGGGGGTGCGGGGGGTGCAATCTCATTACCGGGGGTGCGCCCCCATTACGACACTTTAATGAGCAGCCAGGCAGCCGGCGTTCCCTTTGAAGTAGAGCCACCCCATCCGAGAGAGGAGCAGCGACTCCTCGTTAAAATCGATAGTTCTTTGAATATGCATAACCCCTTGTGGCGGGGCGCGTGCTGCCTGCCTGCCCAATTTTCGTTCGTTCGTTCGGCCCGCCACTCTCTCCCTAGGGCCTCGACTCAAAATCCGGATCATCCCGAGTGTTTCATTCAAATTTCCACTTTTTTTTTAATTCAATGATAATTATCATGTCAAATAAAAGTGTCTAAAGAGAAGAAACAGGGTTTGAGTATATTTTTGGGCAAATTTCACAAGCATAAAAAATTTTATAGCTTTAAAAATATTTTTAAATATTATATTTTAAATCTTGTGTTCAATGTTTTGAAATGAAATTAAAATAGTCAATTTTAATTTGATAAAAAGAAATTAATTTAATTCAGAATCTTCTTGCTTTAAACATAATTTAAATTGTTTTTAAAAAGACTCGAACAAGATTTTGTTTGAACTCTGTGGAACGATTCATATGTTTTTTCTTGACAAAATTTTATGGAGCTTTCAAACCAATTTTTTTTTTAATTCTTGCTCAAAATAATTCAAATATTCAATCCATACTTAACTTTCATGAAAGATTTTGGTGTATCCGGAAGTAAATCCCTTTAATTAATCATACAGTCGAGCAATTTCGCTTTGTGGCGAAAATGGCAGAGGGTGGCGTTGTCGTTTGGTGTTGGCGAGGTGTCTTTTCGGGTCTTCCACGCGGCAGGCTGAAATCTCTTACACCCTAGCTCAATCTGTATGGACGCGCGTGTAGAACATACCCAGACACACCAGTAGGAAAAACTTGGTTGGTTGGTTGCGGTGTCTGTGTACGGCCTCTCTTTTGCTCTTTCTAATTGCCTCACCTCTGGCTTCTGCTGCTTCGCAACAAACGGGGGCGCTGATTTTGACCCGGCACTTGTACGGATTCCCTCCTCGGAACTGTTGAGAAAATCTAAAAGAATAAAAAATAATAAATCAGCAGCAGCAGCAAGCTTAGTGAATTTAGATCTTACAATAAAACTTTCTTTTCTATCTAATTCTAATTTTGCTTATAATTTTCCTTCCGCTTTGGCATTTTAATAAAAAAAAAATTAAACTGGTTAGGTTGGTATTTCTCTGGAATTCTTTGAGGGATTACGCGACACGAGTTGCAGCGGTCGGCTGGTCGTTTTTCATCTCTTCTGCTTCCCTCTTTCTTTCTTTCCTATCTCTTTTTTCGCAGGCACTTTTGCGGCTTCGGAAACAAAACGGACTTGACTGGCGGTGGGTCTGCATGTGTCTGCATGAGCCGGGATTACTTACTTAAACACTACTTTTGCCCTTCGAGAGGGAGCTTTGATTCTTTTATGTAGTTGGTGTTGAAACGAGTCGGCGTCTCGTGAGGTTAATCCTAACGCTGTTTTATTTTTCAATTTGCAGGTCTAACGAGGCCCCCAATGTACCCGTTCGCCGCGTCCCAATACCCCTACCCCATGCTCAGCCCCGAAATTTCACAAGTTGCCTCTTGGTAAGTCTTTACCCTAAAGCGTTTCCCTCTAATCGTGAACTCTGATCGGATGTGCCAATAATTTTGTTAATGTTGCAATTACATAGAAAATAATAACTAATAATAAAATTTATTTACAAAATAAATATTTTAACATGGAAAATATTTTTCCAAGGAATGAAATTTAAAAAGTGAGTAAATATCATCTGAATATTTTAATAATTTAATTTTTAAAAGGTATGTGTGAAAAGTGTCTTTTTAATTTTTGAAAAGAGATTTTTGAGTTTAACGAAATATTTTTTCTTTTATAATTTCATATTTCAATTTGAAATTATTTTATTTTACCTCAAAGTTTTTATTTTTGGTTAGTATTCCCTCACATTTTTTATCAGGGTGATAAAACTCTTGAAAAAAAATTTTCGATGCATTTTTTTCTTCAAATTTATAGGAAATAATGAGATATTTTTATCTTAGAAAAATTACAGAAAAATTAAAATAATCTTTTCTTTAAACTATGTAAAAGAACGGGAAGAATTACTGATTCAAGTAAAACTATTAAAAAGACTTTCTTGGTGAATTGGTCAGAGTTCAAAGTGAAGTTTTCCTAAGAAATGTGTGTTTTTGGCAAAGATATTGATTCCTACAATTGGTTTGACAGGCACGCCCCCAGCATGTACCCGATCTCATCGGCGAGTGCCGGCTTCCGAAGTCCGTACCCGTCGTCCTTGCCCATCACAAGTACAAGTCTGCCCAGGTAGGTTGTCCTTGAGCCCTCTGCATGTCGCTTTGATCAGCGGCTTGTGAGGAAATTTACTCAAGAGTGTCTCTCTGTCTCTGCTCCGCCGTAAACGCTCGCTCGGCTGCTGTTTCGCTCAAAGACACTCGACGGCCGCTTTATTTGTCTGCCACAAATTAGTTTAAACACTCGCTGGCTCCATTCACAGAGAGCAGCCTGCGGCCACTTTTGCATGACGGAATTTTCGTATAATCACGTGCAAATGAAGCCGAATTTCAATCGCAAAACCTTTGATCTTTCTCAGTTTTATTTTCGCGCGCGCAAAGCTCACTATAGTTTTTGCTGCAACTCGCGGTGCAGCTGCTGTTGAGGGAGATTGGCAGGCCAATTTGCCTCTCGCACGATCAAAGATCTTTAATTCTCTCTCGTTGACGCGCCGTTTGAACGGCTTCAATCGCAGCTCTCCGCGGTAAATGGGATTGGCCGGAATTGAAATTTCATTTGCAGGCGTGTTGAGCGTGAAAAGAAAACGCCAATTGTTTTATACTTGAAAATAACCTGCGAGCAAAATATAAACAAAAAATGAACAGAATTCATTGCTCTTTTTCCTCATTTTTTTATTATTTCTCTAGACAATTTCCTGTGTTTAACATCCTGAATTAAAATTAACACCCATTTTAATTTTATATCATAAAATTTTTCTTACCGCTCTTGCACTGGTAAACGAAAATTGTGTAATAAAATAAAAAAAATTCCGCCGTATGTTTAAAATCTCGTACTCATGGAAATCGTAAAATGGCCGGAAAATTTAAATTATCGGTTGAAATTCGGCTCAATTAGGTTTTGTAGCGCAAGATATTTTCTATAAAAATATGTGATTGAGTAAAAAACAATCAAGATAAAGCCGAACTTCAGTTTTAACATCAATATTCTTTTGACAATTTTTTGTATTTTCTGACAAAACAGACAAAACAGTTCTTTGCAGACAAAACAGTTCTTTGCAGACAAAAAATATCTCATGCACATTTTAAGCAAGATCCAAATTTTAAGTTTTGATAATTTAAATTTCATTTTACAATTTAATTTAAATGTTCATATGATTTTTCAAAGTAATAACTTATAACATTTCCACTTTGAGAAAAAAGCTTTGATTTTCACAGCTCGATTTAATTTTTGCTGCGAGTGCACGCGAACGATCACTCACTTACTCGAATCTAACAAGGACAAATGAATGAATGGGTGATAATTTGAGTCTCGAGGGGCCAGGTGGAGGTGCTCGCTCCCCTGCTAACGAGAGAGAGCAGCATGTGCGGTTTGCGCCGACGAGGAAGGAAATGCCTAATCAGAACTCACGGTGCTCCTCTCGCATGTGAGTGTGGTTTGTTTCTCAAAGCAGTTTGTCTTGAGGGACCGCGCGTTTCTTTCATTCACTGCTCCGCACGATGTGCCACACACATTCTCATAGAAGGGAGAAATAAGAGAGTTTTTGTTCCGGCCAACACATTCAGAAATACACAATTTTCCTGGAATGGCAGAGAAAGAAAAGTTGAGGCCGAATAAGGAAAGATCTTTTTAAATCTGTGTTGTTAACATACGCGAGGGATTATTATTATTCTCAAGAGAGATAAAATAATAAACAACAATAAAAAGAGTGAAGACAAACCTTTGATTCGAGAAAGATGCCACTTTTTTACCTTATTGCATTATCTTGTTCTGATAGTGGGTTTTAACATTATTAATTTGCAATGAGTGTAATTTTTATAAGCTAATGACAAGCTGATAATGTTGAGTGTCAATTTGAGAGTGGAAATTTTTATTTCAAACTAAAATCATTTAATTCTCACCGAGGTGAAATTTGAAATTTCTGAGCAGACTGTAAATTTCCAGTTTCTTCTAAAATCAGGGATCAATTTAACTAAATTTTATGCTTGAATAAAATTTAAAAAAAAAATGATTATGTACATCTTTTGATTCCTCTTGAATATCAAGATATGATTTAGGATTTAAGGAAATTTTAACTTCGAATGTGACTTATGTATTTTTTTTTCGCAGTGATTTCTACCGGTTTTCCCCGACCGGGTTGATCCCCCCGCACCCCGGCCTCAGCCCGCACCACCTCGCCTCGCACCCGGCCATCGTGACACCGGGGCCCAAGCAGGAACTCGCCTCTTCAGAGCAGCCGACCAACCACAGGTACCTATTTAACCCTCTTTCTGACTCTCCCACCCACCCACTAATTAAATCAAAGCACAATATAATATAAAAGTGCGCGCAGACGGCACCTCGTTAGCGAGCTTCTTTTCTCGCCGCTTTTTTCATTTCCGACGACCGCAGCCACTTTTCACGCGCATTGCATCACCCGCACACTCGTCGTGTGTGTGCGCGAGTAATTATAAATTTTTTAATTTGCGTACGGCAGTCCACTCGGCGGGGCTTTTCTTCCATTTCGACGCGCGCTTTACCAGCGCGTTAATTCAGTCCCTCGGTCCGTTGTTTGCATCGCGCCAGATTAGATTTTTATCTGCAGAGCAATTAACACATTTTCTGTCACCTCGCTGCTATCTCTCCCCCAACTCACAATGTCGAAATGCACTCGCGCGACCGCAGCTTTTTCAGAATTATAATTCACCACAAAAATGCGGCGTTGAAGAGAAAAAGTTACGCCAACATTTTTATTAGAGCTCCAAGGCCGCGACCGTGGGGCAGCGCAGTTTTCATGCAAAGATAAATATTGGTATTTTCGGCACACCTTCGATAAACGAATTCGCACGTTTATCTTGAGACCACAGATGTAAAAAGAGGCTAATTATTCTAGAAGATAACTTTGACGAAGTAATCTTCATTAAATTTGATTTTTTAATCTGAATTCTGATTGCTTATTTATCTCCTCAATTGAAAGAAAAAATTGGACGTAGTTGAGTAAATCTTGAGATTAAAGAATTGTCAATCAAGTTTAAGCTTATCTCCTTTGTTCACACCCTACTTGGAGAACTGGAGTGCAAACTAAGGAGTTTAATACATTTTCCATAAAACTCTGCAAAAATTAACCATGAAATAGAAAAATAAAGCCTGGCGTTTTCCTGTTCGTTTTTTCGTCATCAAAAGGCAGCAGCAATTTGCAGGAGAGCTGCTGCTGCCTTTTTGCACTTTCGCCCTTCGATCGCCGATATTTTTTCCAATAATCGGGCAGCCGATGGAAAAAGCTGCTATTCCCCGGTGCCGCCGGATTCTCTACGCTACTTGCAGTAATTAGTTTTCGCCCGTTTTTTATTTTCAAACAATAAATATATGTTCATATTTATAACAACATTTTCGGTTGCTCGTTTTTCGCACAGTCCTTTGATGGCTGCAGCTTCACGCCACTCAAAACTGCCGCCGCGATTTCTGGCGTCGCTTGCATCCCCCGCTCGCTCGCTCCATCCCTTTCTCTCTTGATAAAATTCTCATTAAGCCAGAAAATCCATTCGCAGCAGTAAAATGGCCTCCCCCGTTCGCTCCCTGCCTTTCTCTCCGCCCGCGCACTCGCCCGCCCGCCCGCTTTCATCACTCTTTTTGTCTTTTCCACATTTTGCAGCATGACTCACTCGCTGCCGCTTTTTTAAAATAAAAATCTCTTCATCTGCCGCTCCTCGATCCCCCCGATTCGGAATCCTTCAGCCTCTAATTACTGTCGCCGCGCCGCGAACGAGCAATTTTTCATCACAGCCTCTCTCGCGCGCGCTGATGAGAATTTCTTCTCGGCCGGAAAGGCAAAAAGCAAATGAGCATCAGTCAGAGCGGCGAAAACACCCTCGTTACACCCAGACTCACTCTGATTAAACCTCCTCTAGCATCACTAGCTTGAAAAAAGTTCTCATCGAAATTTCATGAGTGAATTTTTTGTAATTCTATAAGAAATTAGAAATTATTTTTATAATTAATGGTAGTAAAATTTTTTTCTAATAAAATAATATTTCAAATTTAAGTGAGATACAAAATATGTGAATAAAATCCCATTTTTTTTAATAACGAGGAAAAAGCCCAACTTTCTTCATTTCCATATCATCTCCTTGAGTGTCAACTTTTTCAAACAAATTAAATTTTTTAATTTTTTTTTTTCTAAAAAAGGAGTTTAGCACTTCAAAAAATTGTAACTTAATTTTTTTTCTATTTGAATTTATCGATTTCTTGCTTTTCAATAAAATTTTATTGGCAAGCAATATGTGTCTTCTTGAGATGAAATTGAATATAAAATTAATTACATTTTTACAATTATAGTTTCAAGTGTTTAGAAATTTAGTTTGGCCATTTGTATCTTTTTTGTTTTGGAAATTTGGAAACTATTTAAAAATAATTATTCGCTTCCAAAAATCTTGTTCTCTTTGAAGCTTCTCCATCAAATGGCTTAACCTTTCGCCATTCATATGCACACATCTGAAATTTCATTCACGCAGGAATTTGAGAACCCTTTTCTTTTTGCCCCTATTTGCTCGCTTTGATCGGTTGGTGTGTCGCCGGCCGATTTTGTTCCAATTTGTTTTGCACCCGGCCGACGCCTTTGTTCCTTTTCTTGCACGGCAGCTCGATATCAAAGGCAACCAACACCTGCGCTAATTGAACTTCAAACAACTGACGATTTGCGAGCGGCGGCGTGCAAATTGGCCCGCCGCGCGCGCACACACCCTTCATTCACTTTTAACTCTCGCGCTCATTTGGAGCCGCTGCTGATTTGCTGCTTTATTTCATTTGGCCCTCGCCGTTTGAAGACGAAACGAGCGAGAACAATTTTTGAACTCTATGTTTGTGTGTGTATGTGTATCTTTTCATTCATGCACAAACAATTTTCCGCGACTTCAAAGGCTGGCGTGCCAGCCGGAGTGAGTGAGAGCGCTAGGTAGATATTTATGTATATAGCGCGGCTTGCAGCGAAATTCGCTACGCTAGTGAGCTGCTATTTAAATATTTGCCTCTGAAACTGACTGAGGGAAAAAGTTAATGAACTATTTTTCCGCGGATGCATTCCGGGAAGGCTGATGAGGAAAACAAAGGAAAAAAACACTGCCTCTTTAATGGGAAAAGTTTTGCTAAATACAAGAAGTGTCAAGCTTTTGTTTCAAGAGTTTAAAGAAGTGATTGGAACAGGAAATAAATTTCTGGCAAATTTAATTCAAATTTTAATGGAAGTAAAAATACAGAGAATTCATATAAATTTGAAAAGAAAAACTTACGTTTAAAGCAGTTCTGTTTTTTTGCAAAAATATCCGCATTTTTTGAAAATTCTGCTAATCAAGTAGAATTTATTTTCCATTAATACCCAGTTATTTCAGTGATTTTTATTTTATTGATTTTGTTTAAAAAAAATTCATATTATTTTGCACGCTTTGGAAAATAGATTTACTTCTAATCTTTAAAGAAAATTGTGATATTTCCAGTATTTGCGCCACTTCAATACCTTACAAATTCTTTTAAAGAACATTGCATTTATTTAATCAGTCATTCAAGCTGGAGATTTGCACTATGGATAAATAAAACTCAATTTTTCCCCAGTTTTTTAGGTAATTGAGATTATATAATATACAAGCTGATTTGGATTTTGCATTTCTTGCACGTTTCCAGCAATGGGGAAACTTTTTGTGTTTCCTCTCCCCCGAAAGTCGAGAACAAAAGGAAATTCGCAAAACACGCGCTCACTTAACGCACTTGAAGATTACTGTTGAAAAGCTGCGTGTGTATTTTCGGCTCCCCTTTGCGCTTTTAGCGCCATGTATTATTAAATTGTATCGATTGTCTTTCCGCTGGGTCTGGCTGAAAAGCTGCAGCTTGTTTGGCGCAAGAAGTTGGCAGAATTTAATTTGGAGCTCGCTGCCAGTTTCGATCTGCCGAATTTTCCCTCTTCTCTCTCTCACACAGCGTGTGTATATTCCCGTTAATTTGCGAGAGAATTCTCTGGGTGGCGCGCACCCTCTCTCGTTTCGCCGTCGGCGGCCGCCCCTGCGCTAACAAAACACACGAGAATAATCCGGCGGCTGTTATTCGTCGGGAAATTGGGAAAGTGCAGAGAAAATGGCTTCGGTCATCGCCTCAGCCGCTGCACCCTCGGTTGCCATGGCGACCCGGCGCCGAGGGGTGGGGGCGTCTCTCCGAAGGCATGCCCCGAGCCGAATTAATCCATCCCCGTAATTACACGCGGTCGCCGGCGTTGCCCGCGCGGTGGCAGCACCGACGCGACACCCCTGCACCCTTGTCGACCGATCAATACTCGTTTCAATACCCGAGTCGCACCAGCCCCTTGGCCGCCCCAAGACGCGCGCCCGCCGCCCTTGCAACCCTCGCACAATCAATGCCACCGATTTTGGCGTCCGACGCCTCCAACCCCCTGCCCCCGAACCGCCCCCGCCTTCTGACGGCCCCCGGGGCGCAGACCGTGCTTTGACTCGGCGGCAGGGGTGCTACCAACCCCCGGTCGCCGCATTCTGGGAACCACCCTCGCCGATTCCTCCACAGGGCCCCGTATCAATTCAAAATCATCCAAATCAAAGACAATTTCTAAAAACTCTAACCACTCTTAACCAAAATCAAATCTGATCCAACCCTCGAACTTTGTTTTTTGGGAATTTCCACCCCCTTGCGAGGTTTTTCCAAATTTTCGGAAAAATTCTTTCACTCCTACCTTTCGCGAATTTTTTATTTCCATCTGCAAATCAGGGTGCGACTTTCACAAAGCCTTGAAGGGGTTGTTTCGGTGGGAGGGTGGGTCGTGCCGGGGTGGTTGGCAGCAGTGGGGGTGGTCGCGGCCGCAGGAGGATGGTGGACGAACCCATAGACCTGGTCAAAGTCAAGTGCGACTCGACCGAGGACCTGGCCGACGATGAGCAGCCGCGCGACCTGACCCTGAAGCGGCGGGGGCGCGACCCCCTCCACCTGCCTGCCCTGTCCGACGAGCCTAAAGACCTATCGCTCAAGTCTGCGGCGCGCTGCGAGCCGCAGACGGCGCCGCTCGACTTCTCAGCGCGCGCCCTCGCACCACCCCCGCCCCTCTTTTTCGACCTGAGAACCAAACTCTGGCAGCTGGGCACGGCTGCCGGGCCCCTCTCCCTGCCCTGGTCTAATGAGAGCAGTGTGTGTCGCAGGTCGGAGCACAAGGGCAGCGCCAGCTCGGCAGCCTCGGAGAGCAGCAAATCACAGGAGTCTTCCGGCCAGGCCAGCCAAGGTGCGTATCAACTCTTTTCTTGCCTCTTCTTCCTTTCAATTAAAAGATTATATTTCTCTCTTTTCGGCTGGATGTCTTTCTATTTGTGTTTCTCGCTTACAATCGAACAGAGTGGAACAGCAAAAGGCCATAATTTGGCACCGTGAGGGAACAAGTGGTTCTCCGACGCCCTCTGTCGACAATTTATTAAAAAGTTGCGTTATATTCTATATCTGCGGATTATAATTTTTTATTAGCAAAGTGTGGCTTAATTTTGAATAGTTATTATTACAGTTGGAAATTTTTTAACAATTCTTTAGAACCATAAGAATTAATGTGTTCAACAAAATATTGAATTGGTGCATTTTTTTATTATGAACCTGATTAATTGGGATTTTTTTAATATTGAACCTTATCTTTAAAACAAACATCTTTTATTAAATGTTACCATCCATATAGAATTTTATTATTTATAGTTCTATTGATTTGTTTGAAATTTTTAAGTCAATTTGAAATTTCTTTAAATCAGTTAATAAGCCATTGCAAATGATATTCTAATTCAAATAACAAGATAAAATAAAGAGAATACTTAAACTTTTCAGAAGCAATAATAATATGATTAATGATTATTTATATTTTTTCATATCTAATAAATGTGTTACTTTTTTACTATAAAAAAATTTATCTTGTTTTCTGACATAAAATGGATTTTATACCTGAATATGATGCTATATGCAACCTGCATTGCATCGCCGTCGTGAGGGTTGCATACTTAAAATAAATTAATAAAATCTGCAAGACCAGCCTTTTTCAATTATTACAATTTATCTTCTGTAGACTAGTTTAGTATAAGTTAAAAAGAAAATTGATGTTGATTATTGAATTGTTTTTGTAGACAAAAAGAAGCCTCACATAAAGAAACCGCTGAACGCGTTCATGCTGTACATGAAGGAGATGCGTGCCAAAGTGGTGGCCGAGTGCACGCTGAAGGAGAGCGCGGCCATCAACCAAATCCTCGGCAGGCGGGTAGGTTGCTAGAGCTTTAGGCGCCGGCCTCCGCAACCGCCCCCGAACGGCCCTAGCCTCGATCACAAGAGGCCCGGAGGCGGCTCGGGGGCGGCTGCGGAGGGGGGCGGGACGTAAGATAGAGTCGGCAGGCGGGCGCTCAGGGGAAACCAAACCGCTATGCCTGCTGGTGCTAGATTAGCAGTGTTGTTAACGGTTGAGGGTTGTAGTGGCACAGTTTGAGTCGCGAGGAGCAGGCCAAATATTACGAGAAGGCGCGGCAGGAGCGGCAACTGCACATGCAGCTCTACCCCGGCTGGAGCGCCCGAGACAATTACGGATACGGCACTAAGAAGAAGAAGAGAAAGAAAGAGAAGACGGTGGACGGAGGTACTTCTACTTTAATCCAAGCTGCAGGACTAGGGAGAGAGATTTGAAATGCGTTATGTTGCCCAAATCAGAGCAGAGCAGAGTGGCGGGGGAGGTAGGGGAGGGGGGTCAGTCAGGACCTGAGTGCCTAGCGCCGGCTAGTTGGTATCACGTGCTGGCAATCTCTTCTCTTATGTGCTTGTAGTGGCACGCGCTGGGCCGGGAGGAGCAGGCCAAGTACTACGAGCTGGCGCGACGCGAGCGTCAACTGCACATGCAGCTGTACCCCGATTGGTCTTCGCGCTCCAACGCAACGCGCGGCAAGAAGAGGAAGCGCAAGGAGCACGCCGCCGCAGGCGTCGATGGAGGTCAGCGCCTGTTTGCATGCGGGCCTCTCAGTGTCTTTTATCATGCACCCATTGTATAACCCGCCCCCTACTTTTTGCCTGCTACTTTATGTTCTGGCTGTCTGAATGGCTGTTTTGCTGTTTCAAAATATTGATATATAAATATATATACAAATTATTATACATATTATATATAAACATATAAAAAAAATGCAAAAAAATTATATATTTTTGATGCTTCTCTATGTATTTGGGCAACATAATTATTTGATCTCATCCGTTCTGCAATTATTATTATTATTATAATTTTTGAAATGTGCGTCGACGCTCAGGCGAACTCTTTGCGGTGTTCGGTGGGCGCGGCCGCGCAGCCTCCACGACGATTCTAACGCGCGCTCCTTTACGTTGCAGGCAACAACATGAAGAAGTGCAGGGCCCGGTACGGACTGGACCAGCAGAGTCAGTGGTGCAAACCATGCAGGTACGAATCACACCGTCTCTCCCCTCGTTTACACATTTTTCATTTCAGTTTGTTTTTTATTTGTGCACAGACACGCAGCGATTTACCTTTTTTTTATTTCCGTTTAATTTGTCGTATATACAAACCTTTTCTTCTTGCACGTGTCAGGGGTATTTTTAATACAAAACACAGCGTCCCTTGTCTCCTTGACCGAAGGCACAGCGCCACCCGTCAGGGCAGGCTGGTACTCTAACACCGTGTGACTAATAGGGTGGTGGTGGTGCTGTGTCTGCGCATGTGGCATGCGAGGGTCGTCTCGGCAGGAAGACCTCGGGGGTAGTTCTTGAGTCCTTGCGTATTGTATAGGAGGTGAGATTTTGTGGCATTCAGAAAATGTGTCTTCCCTCTAGAGACGCTGCTGGGAAATGAAAACAGTAACCAGTGAAATAGTACATCAAATAATTTTCTTTTCAAAATTCGTGTGTTGATCGACTTGAGAAAAATTCGGGACACATTTTCTGAAAGAAATATAATCAATTTTGCAAATTCATTTACATATTTTGATGTGTGAATGTTTCTCTATCTCTATATTTTTTACATATATATCTTGATGGTGCTCTCTCTCTTGACTCTCTTTTCTAATCATGGTCATTTTTCTGGTTCTGTTTTTGTTTTGACAAGCAGCCCCGCTGAGGGGTCAATAAGCAGCGGCAGTGGGGCCGCCACAGGATCCCTGCACGGAGGAGGAGCCACGGCCCAGGAACCCACTTATGTTAACCTATAGTAGCGCTCTGTGAGTTCATCGTCACTCAGTGTGGGCATGCGCAGTTGTTGACACCTTCATACATTAATTAATTAATTAATCAGCCCCGTTCTAATTTTCAGTTTTGCACGCAGTTTTTAACCTCCAAGCGTTTTCAGTTTTTAACCTAGATGTTTTTTTGATTATGATTTATGATTTACCAAACATATATTTATCGTTCGTACGTGCGTCTCTCTCAACATTTTAGTTCTTAGGAAATTCGCAAGCAAGCGCGCAACGACCACCCTGCGCAAATGCGACGACCGGTCGATCGAAATTCGTTTTCATTTGTTTCTTCCTTTTCATTTGATTTATGTATTTTGGAATGAAATCCGGTGACGGTGATGAGGGAGAAGTTTGATGTGCCCAAAAGTTCAATAAGTAGTATGGGATTAATTCTTATATTGGTATTTTTTTTTATTCTAGTTTCTAGTGTCAAAACAAAATTCTGAATTTGCCGTTATTTACTAAATACCAATATTTATTTCAATTCAATTATTGATTTGGGACTTTTAGCTCTAAACTTTCAACCAATCAGAATTCTCCCTGCGTTCACCCTCGTTGGGTAAACAATCGTGGACCGGTCGTCTGGCAGAGGTCGTTGCGCAGTCGTACTTCCGCATGCAGTGCTGCTCCCTTGACTTGATCCATCCGTACTAACTCTGTCCTTTCTTTTCCCGGTGCGCAGGCGCAAGAAGAAGTGCATCCGCTACATGGACCTGAGCGGCAAGGGCGGCGGCGACGCGGACAGCGATGGTAGCGACGCCAGTGACGACGATGACGACGACATGACCACTGACTCGCGAGCCGGAGGCGGCGACGGGGGCGGCAGCTTGGGAGACGAGTCGCCGAACCGGCTGTCGGACATCAACGGACTCTCCTCGCCCGGCGGCTTGTCCCTGGGGTCTCTGACCTCACCCTCGATGGTGCTGCCAAGTCCGTCGGCCAGCCTGGCGTCGCCGTGCATGAGCATGCAGTCGCCATTGACACCCCTCCAGCACCACCATGGCGAGCCGACGGTGCTGCCGCCACCGCAGAACCCGCCCTCGTCCGCCTCCTCCTCCCTGAGCTCGGTGAGCTCGAGCAGCGGTGCTTCCGGAGGGCCGCCGCCGCCCCATCGCAACCCCGTGGGCACCAACCCCCACGACATAAACAACCCCCTCAGTGTGAACCAGTTGACGGGGCAGGTGAAAGAGACGAGTGGTGCTCGTGCCATTTCAGTGACGTGACGGACGTCCCTCTGCCCCCCGCTCAGGGGAGCGGCTCTCTAGCATTCCGTGTACAGATTACGAATTAGCCCCATAGACACGTGCCAATCAAGCAACGACGAGCGCCCGTCAACCCCTGCGCAAGCGTCTCCCTTAGAACCGGCTTCTCCTCCCCTCTCCGGTTCCGAACGCTCTGTATATTGACATATAAATTTTGTACTCGCGAAAACAAAGGGAATTAGATTCTCTAGATGGCGCTAGTGTTGTTGCTGCTTCGAATTGTTGATTATTATTTTTTCTTGCGCGGAACCCTAATTGTTGCTCAGTCCTCTCCATTAAGTTTCTTACACAATAGGCCATTTTACTTCTGCTATATTGTTTTTAAGACGTTGCTCGTCTCAAGTGGAAATTGAAATGTTAACTTTTTGACACAAATCTATATTTGTTTTCAAGATTAAGGATTCATTCTTGGTACCTGATAAACTATGAAAACTGTTTACCAACACTTTTCCCAACAGCTCAACGTTTGAGGTTTTCTTTTACCCACTCAATGAGACGGGAGTGCATTTTGTGAAATTTTAAAATATTTTTGAGGTAAAATATCTTTTAAATTTCCATGAAAACCAATTTTTTTTACTTTATAATTCAGGAATATAATTTGTCAAATTTGCCGCGAATGAATCGTTAAGAGAAACTAGAAATTTGGTTTTTATATGCCAGGTTGGCAAATTGTCAATCTGATTTGTTGATTTATTCACATAAATTATGCAACTTTGAGACCAACAACGTCAGACTTTTGTAAAACTCAAGAGTATTTCCACATGTGCCATTTGCTGGTAATTGTTCCCGAGCCTCTTGCTCAGCTGTTACTCTCTTTCACCCGAGAAGACCAACGCGTTCCCCTCTCAGTTGTACATACAATACACAAAGAGAGCTTACTGAACTGCACCGGTACATTGTTTCATTTTTAATTCTGAAAGTCGATAAAATTTCGAATTTCCAAATTGGTAAAAAAAAATTGCATTCCTAGTGTCAGTTTCTACCTATTGGGAGGTTATTCCTGATTTCACATATTAAAAAAAAATGAAAATCTCAATTTTGACCAACTTAAAATAAAAATTTGTTGTCTTTCATATGCAAGAATAAAATATTACCGGTTTTAGTTTGAAAAATTCCAAAATCGAATCGATTTTTATTGGATTTTTAGATTTATTCTCATTGAAATTACTGCCAAATTTCGTCTCTCCTGTGTGCCATGGAGGAATTAACCCCCGTCCGCATCCCTCGCTCCCGGCCGGCCGATTGAAAAGCTGGATCTCAACTAATAAATCACGCGACGTCTCCACACTCTACTTACCTACTTTTACTTGCAAGCGCCGGCCGGGGGCGAAAGAAATGTCCACCCAAAAATACCCCCCTTCACCGGGCTGCGCAGGGGGCGTTCCGGCGGACGCTGGACGGGCGCCGTCCTCTCGAGTACAAGACATGCAAATCTTTAGGCCAAAGCACAAATCACCCCTCCTCTTTTTTTAAAAAAGAACAACATAAGTACACACACCGATCGACACACACACACACACTCGTAATAAAATAAGAAATAAAATAGGTAAAAAAATTAAATAAAAATGAAATGAACGAAAAAGAAATCAGCCAGCGCGCCCCGTCCGGACGACTCGCTCGCTCGCGCGGCCCAACGTGTATATCTATCTATCTATCTCTCTGTCTGTCTCACTTTGGACTCGTTTCTTTTGTACTCGTGGAAAGAAAGTCGGCGTCGTCCCGACGGGCGCACTTGGACCAAAATCAGTTGTGCCAGAGCATTTAGCGGAATGGATTTTCCCTGACAGGGTCGACTGGCACCAGCATTTGTGATAAAAAGAAAATTACAAGAGAGATGATGAAGAATTTTTAAGGCCTATGTTTTTATTTTTGCGTTGCCAAATTTTATGGATGGAATCGATTGGGAATACAAATGTACCGAAAGAACGACGGAGAACTTAATTACAAAGAAATCTACTACGACAACATTCAAATGGAAAAAAAACGGGGGCGTGCAATTGATTTTATTTGTTAACTTGTGTTTTTTTCAATGTAACTTCACTGTTTTCCTATTAAACCTGTGTATAGTGTATGTAAGACGAATAAAAAAAACATCAACCGATCATAATGTTTTTTTAAATCAATTAATTTACCCGATCATTAAAATATTTTAAATTGAATATGATTTTTCAAGATAAAAGTCATTATTAACAATTAAAACTTTTTATCAAGATTTTTAATTAATTTTATTTTTCAAATTGATTCACATCAACAAAATGAGAATAATATTTAATATTCAATCAAAAAAAAAAAAAAGTTGTTTTTTTTATTAAGAAAACGTCATTTATTTTTATTAAACTAAGTAAAAAAATATTTTATTCAGAAACTACTCCGCAAACTGAAAATTTGGAGATAGAACTTTTATTGTTAATGGTCCATCATCATGGGTGCCATCGAGTCCATCATGTCCATGGCCTCGGCTTCGGCCGCCTTGCCCTTGTAGTAGGTTTCCACGTGGTGGTGAGGGTGAATGGCTGGGTGAGCGGGGCTGTGCATGACGTGAATTGGAGGTGGCGCCTGTTGGGACACGTGGATCACCTTGTGATGGGGCTCAGCATCAGGTTCGGCGGCGCGTCTGCGGAGAGAAACAGGAGGTCAGTACGAAGAGGAGGACGAGCCGTACCCTGACGAGCCCAGGCTGCCGTGAGGCCCCCACGGGTTGTGGTCATACCTGTGGGGCCACCGCTCACGTCAGGCCGGACTTTCTTACGATTTGTTAACATTTTCAGAAAAGTTCAACTGAGATAATACGCCTTCAATTTTTTGCAATAAAAGTGATTTTTCTCACATTTGCAACTATTAAAAATATGTTTTCTAACTGCTGTAATTTTTTAACAAGTTTAATCATAATTTCGAAAGAACATAGAACGTTAGTTAATTGATGTGTTGTATGCCCAAGTCTGAAAATTCCAAATATTCCCTCAACCATTGATTTTTAATTATTATTTATTTTAATTGCACCCCCCCCCCCCCCGCGATGATTTATAGTTATCAGAGGTTTGAATTGAAAATATTATTTAAGTTTGATTTTCTTTCTTAAATTCTATCTATAGGTTCATAACAAGTTCAAACTAGCTTAAATTAAATTTGTTTTAAATAAATGAAAAAATTGAGTTCAGCGTAAATTACTAAATTTTCAGTTGAAGTATTTCTATTAAAAATAATTTAATAAATTACAAGAAAATCTTAATCTCCAGATTTTGATTGGATATAATAAATTTTAAAAGGGGAATTTATTGAAATCAAACTCTTCACTTTTGAAAGTTGGCTGGATTTTTTCTATTTTATTTTTTGTACAAAATCCGACATCAAATCGCTCTGGAGACGAGATTTCCTCGTGAAAAGTATAAAAAATTAATACCCGTAGCCGCCGTGGTAGCCACCCAGGTAGCCGCCTCCATATCCTCCGTGTCCGCCGTAGCCACCTCCGTATCCACCCATGCCATATCCGCCGTGGCCTCCATAGCCGCCTCCGCCGTATCCTCCGTGGCCTCCGTAGCCGCTGCCGTAGTCGTGGATCACAGGCAGCATGTAGACGATGGGGGCAGAATAGCCGCCTCCATAACCGCCTCCGTAGCCGCCTCCATGGCCTTTACCACCGTAGCCACCCCCATATCCGTAGTCGTCCTTCTTGTCCATCTTGAAGCAGCAGGAGCCGAGAGACACCACACAGCTCAATAGCAAACTCCACGCCTAAAATAAATTTATTTGAGAGTTAAAAATCAGAATAAGAATGATTAAAAAAAAATTGTTGCATATATTTGGCTCAAACAATTATTATTAATATTGAGTTTCAAATTTTTAAACTGTTGCAGATTGAAGCACATTGTAGCACAGTTTTTTTAGATGTTCCTTTTTTTTTTAAATCAATTTTTAAGTAAAATAAATATATTTAGATGAAATCATTTATGTTATAATTTTCGGGAAATTAATTTATAATAATATGCTTCAAAGATCGCAAATACTGAATATTGCATAGAAATTATATGGGAAAATGGCAAATCAAATCTATTTAATAATTTATAAATACATGCAAGAACTCAAAGTAATAAAGTACAGAAAATTAATAATAGAAAACTCACCAAAATGCGGTTCATGGTGGCGACTGATTTGCAGACAAATGCCAACTGGCCAGTGGCTTTGGAGCACTCGCCGGTAGTCGGATTGCTGAGGCAGCAGGTGACTCGTCAAGTCTGCACTTTTTGGACAAAAAGAAGTGCGGTTTTCAATCAAGGTAAGCGAATTCCGAATTGGCCGGAACTTTCGACCTGCACTCAGCGCTGCTCCGGCAAATTCTGCAGCCTCCTCAGCACTTTTTACGCCGCCGCCGAGTTACGAAATTTCTATTTTAGGTGTTCATAACTGCATGTCTATTTAATAAAATAATATATTTATATTTATTAGAAAAGATTTTATTTAATTAAATTGTGACATGGATTTCGAAGGGGGCTAGGAGTTTTTTTTTATATATATAAATAGCCTTTTTCTTTATTACGCACGCCAGTTGCCATGGCGCTGGCCAAATCAACAAATTACCCCTGCAGATATAAATCTCTCCTGCTGCTTCAGAAAACTTTGTTTTTTCCTTTAGTCTTGTGAAAGAAAATGCAGGAGGAGGATGATTTGGACGAAAGTGAGCTTTTTTTAAATTTTGTTGCATTAATTAATGCATTTTTTCCAATTGTGAAATTTCTTAGCACCTCCTTTTCAACCACTGTACAATTTGTTGGAAAAAGTGCGAGAGGCGAATCTTGAGTTGGAAACATTGGAAGCACCTTCAGAAGACCAGCCGCGGCCTGCAAGGTCTTAAATTATTAATTTTTTAATATAAAAGCATGGACGAGTAAAATGAATATTTTGAAGGGTGAAATTTAAAGAGGAAATCACCGAATTTGAGTTTTGGGATTCTGAAGACGATTGGTCGGGCGAGGGTCTCCTGGCCAGTACTAAAGAGGAGGACGCGAATGTGTTGATTTCTGATGATGACGATATTGAACTTTTACCTTTGGAGGAAGAGGTGAAAAAAACTATATATTCCATTTCAACAACATTTTTCAATTAAAAAAAAAAAAAAAAAATTCATTCATCTTCTAAAAATTTAGACACAATTCACGCTATAAATAATTTTTATTCAATTTTAATTCCGATGAATTTTTTTTATTCTTCTTCTAGATTTAGTTTAATTTCAAATATTCTTAAAAATATATCATTATATTAATAAATTGGTCTAGGTCCGTCTTGGCTTTCCGCACGGTGCCGAAATGCAGGACAACTTCGAGGATGACGACGAGCCAGCTCGGCCTCGAGTCGGTCCTTCGAGCGTGGATGAGGAAGTTTTGGAACAGGACGGAAGTCAAAGCAGCACCACCTGCGGCGCGGTTCGCTCCATCTCGGAGGAATTGTGTCTGCACCTGGACTTGCGGGACAGCAGCGACGACGAGCAAATCGACTACGGCCGGCAGAGAAGGTTCGAGGGCAGGACGCGGCCCTGGACGGCGCCCTCGGCAGGACAAAATCAAAAACACAGAGACGCGTGCAAGGGCAGCAGGTGGACTTGCGCTCACCTGCCGCACTACAACGGACTGCGGTCGGAATATGGACTCAGCAAGGAGCAGCTTGAAGAGAGGAAAAGGTCAAAAAACACACTTCTCTAAAAAAACAAAACAGATTTTTTCATGTCAAAATCTAAAATAGAACATTATTTTGTTAAAAAGAAATTAAAATTAAAGAAAAGTTGTGAAGAAGTAATGCCATAAATAGCGACAGAACATAATCTTTGGGACAATTTTTCTGTTTTTAAATGCTTAATATTATGTTATCTTTATATTAGAAAAGGTAATTAATTTATTTGTAATAAAACGAGTTTTTTTAAATTAAAAATAGGTGACAACATTTTCTACAGAAAAATTTCTTTGGAAATTTTAAAACATTTTAAAAATTTGTTCCCAGGGTTAATCATTAATTAATAATTTGTAAACTAGATTCATAAAATCACACAAAATATATAATTATTTGAATTATAAATGACAGTTAAGTCATTGAAACCATCTCAGGGACAAAAAAATTTTTATTCTTTTTCAATTATGTTCAAAATTAATTTGCGTGATTTGAATTAAAAATTTTCAGCTAAATCAATCAATTTTGTTTCAATAGGTTAAAGAGACAAATTTATGAGGAGAGGAGAGAGATGGCAATCAAACAGCAACAAGAGCTGCAAGAACGCCATGAAGAGAATGAGCGCAACTTCCGAGCGTGGATGGTGCGCAAACAGGCTGAAAAGTTCTTCTACGGTGGCAAGAGAGCCACCCTGGAGGAGCAGAGGGTGCAGAAGGTGTTGGCTGAGGCGCGAAAACAAGAAGCCGAGGAGAGCTACAAAGAGTGGCTGCGCCGGAAAAGGCAGGAGAAACGAACCAGAATTGGCAGACATAAAAACAGGTATTGCAATATATGAATTTTACTTTAGGGAAATAATAATTTTGTTGATACTCAGGTGGACTATTCACGATTTCGAGCGGATGCTGGGCTCAGTGGACGACCACACAGAACGGACCTTTCGGATTTACCTCGGCTTTAGCAAATAACGGAATAAAAACGCTCAAAATTTCCAATGGCGTAGAGAGAAAGGCTTCTCTGCTTTATTGTTTTCAACATATTCTCCTTAACTGATTTACTCATTAATTATAATCAATATTTTCTCAGTAACGTAATTATTTCATGTAATAATAATTTCAGCAGCCCATCGGAAAAGATCACCGCTTTCGATTTTGGAAGTGGGCCCGCTTTTCGGCAGCTGGGTGCTTTCAGATATGAGCAAGTGGCCTGCCGACTGATGGAAATATTAGAGTATAAAATAGATATAAGTTTAACAAATTCCAGTCGCAATTCGCATTTCAAAATATTTTGAAATCAAACAAACAAGAAAAAAGCAAGAATGGTTAGAAAAATCACAAAAAAGGCTTGGAATTTTTTTCCCCACAGGAAAAAACGTTTGTAGAGAAGTTAAAGATTGTAATTTTAGATTCCAAAAGCTTCCAAACCTTTCTAACAACTTATTGAATATATTTTAATCAATTTTTCTAAACACATTTACGCTATTTACTTTGACTTCTCGTATAATATAATTTTTAGTTCAGAAATGAGGTAATAAAATGAGCTCAGACAATCAAACTAAAGAACACTCAATAAACTAACGCATTGCAATATAAATTTCAACAAAACAGATACAAAAATATTTTGATTCAGTGCCAATGTGGAAAGATCTGGAATTGCGAGCCCCCGAGAGAGAAAAAGCCAGATCTGCCGAAAAGGCCCATTTCGCAAAAAGGAAACCTCCGATTCGGAATCATATTTTGCAACTTTCATCATCATCAGTGAGAGAGAGATAAATGCTATTTACAGAGGGGGGCGTCAATCAATAGGTCGCTCAATGTGCTACTTGTCTGGGGGCGGTGGAGGGGCTTCCTCGGTTGCGGGGGTCTCAAGAGGGGGCGTGGCCGGGGGCATTGGAAGGGGGCTGGTTTCAAATTCTCGGTCGTCCTCGTCCGGAGACCCTGCGTTGACCTCCGGCTCTGGGGATCTGGTCCTGGCAGTTGCAGAGGGTTCGAGGATCGTCGGATTGACGGAGGGGGCGCCGGCCAGGGGGCTGGTGGTCCCCGAGCCGGAGTGGTGAACAGTGCGGCGCGAAGTCTCGCCCTTGCGCCACAGGGTGATTTCCTGCTGCTTGAAGTAGCGCCGGTCCTCCTCGTCCATCAGCACCAGGTTCAGGTAATAGCGCACTGAGAACTTCTTGTTGATGTCCTTCATGGACGGCGCCAGGTCGTAACCGGCCAGGAACACCCTGATTGGAATGCTCTCGCCTCGAACGGGCGCTCCGTCCATGATTTCGTACTTGGCGATGGTCTCGTTTTCCGTGAACGTGTTTGGTCCTGGAAAAAAGATGTAAAACAGTTAACATGAGTTTTTTTGTGTTTAAAAATTGATTTAATTAAAAAAATTGTCTTACAAAAAAAAAATGATAAAATAACAAAAATTAAAATTTTATCGAAAATGTATTTAAAATTAACTAAAAACTTACAAAAAATATTTTTATTAAATTCCCCAGCGACTAATTTTAACATAGAATCTTTTTGTATCTTTAAAAATTATGCAAAATCATATCTATTGAAGACTCATTTATGTGTCAAACTATTTATCTTTTTTCAAGTACCTGATCCAGTGGTTTCCCTCTTGATGATTGCGATCTCCATGTGTTTGATTTTTATCCGGACTAACAAAAAGTAGATTTTCCCAACAATCACATCTTTCAAATGGTACCTGCAACAAATCCATATTGAAACCTTCCATATTCCTTTTTATTAAAATTTAAGAAGCAAACCTCGACTTGTTATATTCAAATTCAATGTGTAGACAGTCCTCGATTCCGACCTCCATCTTGATGCTGTTGTTGAGCTCAGGGTACGAGCTGAGCGTGTGGACAACCAGCTCGAGCTCCTTGACCACGTCCGACAACCACCGGACGATGGTCACTCTGAGGAAGTATCGCAGTCGGACGTTGGAGCCGGAGTACGACTCATACGGTTTCTCAACATTGAGGAACTCAAAGGGAAATGTGATGCTGTGGGACAATTCTCCGGGTGGCGCCAACTCCTTAAGCAGTGAAGTGAACTCGTGGTGGTTACCCCGGTCGTAGTATAACTCGATTTGCCCCACAAACTCAATCTTGATCCCTTGGTGCTCTAATCGGCCGCCAGCCTTTTTCAGGGCAATGTTCACCTGTCAAAATTGTGAAATATTTTAAGCAAAAAAATAAAAGATGAATTAAAGCAAACTTTCCATTGAAATATTATTTAATGTATGAATTAACAAATATAAGTTTTTAGAAGAAATTTCTCTTCTACAAAATTAATTACTTTTATATCTGACGGATCATGTGACACTACAGAAAGCTATGCAAAATTTAGATATTAAATTAAAACCAGCCATTAAGCCCAAAGGTGTCAAATTTTGCTATATATAATGCAGAAAAAATTTCAAAACTAGAAAAGGGTTTTAAATTTGATTTAAAATCAAATTTAGACACAGTTTGGAGTTCAAACTTATGAAATTAACACGCCCCCGTGACGCACTGCTCTTGTGTATACCTTTCCTGCCACGGTTTCACCGTCGTAAAACAAAAAGTGCTTCTCCTTCTTGCCGTCCTCGCCTTTCACGTCCGCCGTCCGACGGTTGTCCACATTGTCCAGCACGATTTCCACCTCGGCGCCTTGGCCGAAGCCGAAAAAACTCTGCAACACAGGAAACTCTCAATTATCCAATTCTGGAAGCGCCCTCCGAGTGCCTCCGCCGACGGACGCTTTTCGTCCGTCGAAGGACGTTTCGGACAACCGGAAGGTGTGCAGAAGGTGGTTAAAGATCCTAGACACCCTAACATACCATCGTGAGGCTGAGATTCGGCTGTCACGCGGGCGAAAATCGGCCACTTTTCGGCCAAACGTCAACACGGCGCTCAGCTGGTGCCGCTCGAGCGCGCCGATTGGTCGAGCCACCTCCAATCACGTGACTGTAACTCTGTCATCCGCCATTGGAGGGCGTAACGCGCTTATCAATGAAATAATTTCCGCGAAACTTCAGGAAACTAAAATACGGCATACGTCATCATCGAAATTGAACTAGAGTTTAATTTATTTTACGTAATGAAAATAAGAAAAATTTTTAATTATGACCCTTGTAATTATGAATTTAGAGATTTAACAATGTATTAAAAATTGTGCAGTTTCAAAATTTTTCATGATTTTGGTTCTTGTATAATTTCAATAGTTCTTGCGATAAAATTAATAAATCATTTTAAGTGAGTGAAAATAAATAAGTGGAATATTTGGTAAAAAAGAATCTATTTTTCGACCATTTCAAATGGCTTCCGAGTTAACCGCAACATAATTAAATATTTTTGTTTACGAAAAAAATCATTAGAAGTCTTCTGTTAGTTGTGTGATGCACCCCCTCGTTTGGAATGTCCTAATAATCTATATGTAGTTGAGCGTCTGGTCTTGAAATTTAGCTGTGCGTTTCAAAGAATTTCTTCTTTGCCTCGATGTCAGGAATGATCTGAAATACAAAAGGTTGAAGAATCAAGAATTTCAACAAAATTCGAATTTGGTACAGTGTCTGATCCTGGTTTCCATCCAGCAGGGCACACTTCCCCGTGCTTGTCAGTGTACTGGAAGGCTTGAACCAGCCTCAGGGTCTCGTCCACACTTCTGCCCACAGGCAGGTCATTCATGGTAATCTGCCGCAGCACTCCTTTGTCGTCAATGATAAAAAGACCTCTGAGAAATTTTTTTAGTTGGTAAGGATTACAATTTTGATCAAGGACAATTCACCTCAGGGTGTGTCCAAGGTCTTCCAGGTAGACACCGTAGTCTTTGGAGATTTTATGGTTCAGGTCGGAGAGAAGAGGAATCTTGAGTTTTCCAAGTCCACCCTCTTTCCTCGGAGTTTTGGTCCAGGCGTGATGAGTGAAATGGGAGTCAACGGAACAGGCCACGACCTCGGCGTTGATTTTCTTGAACTCGGCCAGGCGGTCGTTGAAGGCCAAAATTTCAGTCGGACAAACAAAGGTGCTGGAAATTATTTTTGAAATAATTAAAGAGAGAAAACCGTAAATTTTTGAATGGCATTTTAAAAAATATGATGAATGTATTTTTCATTTTATATGAAAAAAAAATATGTTAAAGTTTGAAAAAATTCTTACAAGTCCAGTGGGTAGAAGAAGAAGACGAGATATTTGCCCTTGTAATCGCTGAGTTTGATCTCGGTGATCTCGCCTCCGACCACGGCTGTTCCCTCCCAGAAAGGAGCCGGCTTAGAAACTGCGGGTCAAAAGGTGATTAGCAAAATTCAATCTTCGTGTTAGAAAAACTTTAATTTTTTTTTTTTTTTTTTTTTGTAAACTCACTGACGGCTTTTGTGTACTGGAGACTGTGCTCGATGTTGCGACCGGTGCCGGCCGGGTAGACAGAACCGCCGGCGAACGAGTGGCATGACTCGTCGGCCGAGACGACCGCCGAAATTAGCAGCAGAAGCAAAAGCCGACAGTAATGTCCGCCCATTATTTGTCTAAAAAGAGCAGCCAGCAAGGCAATATTTTTATCTTGACCGCCAAAGAGACACGGGGGCGTGGTTCTATCTACAGAGCCGTCGTGGAGAAAAACTGAACTACTGGGGCGGGAAAAGAATTTTACCTCGAAACGTGGAAAAGAGAAAAAGGAAAATTATTTAAATTTGAAAATTCGCCTCGTCTTTAGAAACAATAGGGAGATTTTGTTCTCATTGTTGAAATTTAATTCATAGTTTACCATTTGCTGGTCATATCTTTCTTAATTAATTAGGAATAAACTTCTAATTTTAAAAGTTTTTTTGATTAAAACCAGTTACATTTTGATTTAAATAACTATGAGGTTTTTAATTGACTTCTTCAAATCATTTATTTATTTCATTTTGCGAAACAAAAATAGAAAAATGAGATTAGAATTTCCACACAAAAAATATCTCAGAAAAATAATTATCTTGCAATTGACACAATTTTTGTTGTGAGACATAAGTATAATATGTTCCGTCATTTAATAATAATAGTACTTGTGCTGCTCAACAAGGGGTTCGATCAAGGTCAAGACACTGGGCATTTCATGCGGGTAATTCAGCTGCGGCTAACTATTTGCGACGCTATTTTAATTGATGCCTGTGGAATGTTGAACTAATCCTCTCAATGATGAGTGACAGATTAAAAAAATGGAGTGGAGTAATTTGACACACGCAACAGATGTGCGGCAAGCATAATAATAAGTACAACAATCAAGCCTGTCTTTTACGCAACAACTTGTTGCTCCGAAGTGAAAAATCAATTGCAGGAGCAGCAATGGAATGAAATTATAAGTAAATTCTCTAAATACTGATAAAAAAAAATATTGAAATTCCTTGTCGGCCATAAATTCGATAATCTGTAACATTTCTTAAGAGTATATTTGCTTTTTGGATTCCGTTTTTAGAGTGTGCAGGAAAATAAATGCCTAGCTATTTGTGCGTCGGATAAGTTACAGAACAATGGAATATCCATAGATAATTATTGCTAGTCAGTCCTGGCTACTCTTTTTTTTAATTGATCTGTTGATCAAGGGGTTGCTGCTTCATTTTGAACCAAGGAGTCTCCTTGTAGATGAACCACAAGTCGGAGGTCCACAGGAAGAAGTTTAAAAATCCCAGAATCTATAAAAAAATAAAGATTATTATTTTTTAATACATAAATAGATTCAACTGGTAAAAAAATCAACAGAGGGTAAAAATTGAATTAAAAAGAGGGTTTGATATTTATCAAAAATTAATATTTAAGAACTGTTTAAATTAATAAATTACTTACAACTGAGATGTTGAGCCCAGAGAAGCTGCCTGTGGTCACATTCTCGCAGAGGCCCTTTCCGCACTGGTTGGTGCGCATCAGGATGGCTGGTTCGGTCGAGTGTTTTATTCCGGATAGGCCGTTGGCCCAGGCAGCGCTGGCCGAGAGCCACAGAAGAGCAAAGAGGGCGGTGCCCCCGAAATCGGCAAGGGAGATGAGAGGGTTGCTCTGGTATTGGGCCTCATACAGTGCGTAGATGGCGGAGGCAGCAGCCGCCCCCAGCAGCGACAAAACACCCACAGCCACAAAGAACTCGGCGTCTGAGCTGAAGTCGCCGTACAGCGTCAGATACCGACTTTCAGGGTGTGAACACGCCTCCTTCCGAGAAATGTGGTCCAGCTTGAATGGGTAGTCGTAGGGGAAGGAGACGACACTCCTGGGCTGCGGATCAGGGCATTTCACGGCGAACGTCACCTCATTGTCGTACGAGCAGATCGTGATTATGGCAAACAGTGAGAACACCTGGAAAATTTCCAATACAAAATTAATTGAAACGCCCAATTTAAAATGAAAAAATCTACCAGTTTCTGTATCTCTGGATTTTAATAATTTAAAATCAATAAATTTATTTAAAATAAAATAATCTATTTTAAAGCTGTAGTAATAATTAAATCTAAATATTTTTTTTAAAGAAATAGATGGGGGTTTTTGTGATTTTATAAATAAATCTCATTGAAATTTAAATTTTCATTTAATTGGCTACTGAAAAAAATCTAGGCTTTATAGTGAATAAAATAAATATATGTTCTTTTTCTAAACAATTTAGTTTTCATAGAAAAATTTGGAACATATTTACAAACTTAAATCTTTGCATACAGCCACATACAGCTAATATTCAACAATAGGTCATCATCGTCTTAAGATTTATTTATTATTTTTTTTTTGTTTTTTTAGGCATAAGATCTGAGGAATGTTGTTGTGACGCTAGGATTGTCTTGGAACAATAAGAGTTTGTGAAATAAAAATGAAAAATTCATCAGTAATCTTTCCCTCCCCTCCTCCAGCACAAAAAAAGGTATCAGAAGGTGTGCGTCAAGGTGAGAATGTTCCTTGACGTTTCTCATGAGATAAGCTATCTTGTTGACTCAGGCAGTAAAAGGCAGTGCTTAGCCTTCCCCTCAAAAGAAAAATTATAAATAAAACAAAGCAAGCAACATTAATAATTGCACAATATATATATTTTTTTTTATAATTAAAAGCTTATCATTGAAATGTTATTCATACCAAATGGATGATTCGCATGACCCCCCGAGGCTCGCGGAAAACGTCCAGGTTGACCTGCATGGCAGACCTGAGGGCCTGCAAATGACCGCCACCGCCTGCACCCCCTGGAGGCTGCTGTAAATATAAGGTGGAAATTAAAAAAATAAATTCAAGGTTTTTCATTCCAATTTATGTACCATTCCGGTGTCGTACTGGCTCGGCATTTCCTGAAGTTTCAAAATATTAATTAAGTGTCATGTTCAAGAGTAAAAATCAATTATTTGTACATCTAGGGGATCAAAGGGGGTAGAGAAAGCTGAAAATCTTTACCTGCTGAGTCTCGGGTTCGTATCCTTGCAGCTTGAAACGAGACCGTTTTGAAAATAGACAAGGATCTTGGGCAATTGGCAGTTACTCACCTGGGACGCCATTTCGTATTTTCGTAGTGCCCGTAGGGTCCCTTAAGCGGGGCTTCGCGGATTTTGGGCTTCAGGGGCCTCGCCTGTGTTTTGACACTTCAAGGGGCGGGGCTCGGTGCGATCGATTAATACCGGCGTGGCGCCACTGTCGCCTCTCCTCACGGGCAAGGACATTAATTTGCATATTTTATAGCCAACCTAACTCAAAGATTATTTCCAGGCCAGAATTTTGAGTAAGAACTTTGTAGGAAAATAGATTAAAACAAATTTTATTTTTAATCTTCAATTATAATGAAAATACTGGATTGTATAAAAAGCATATAAGTAAAAAAAAGCCTGTTGACCTTCATTTCTAAAACATGTTTCGGTTGGTAGCACTAAAGCAACAAAAATCGGTGGTTTTTTTTCTGCGGAGTGCTTTGGTGCTCGGCTCGCTCCGTTCTCCAAGCACTTTGGCAGTCAGGCCGATGTCTCCCACGCCTGACTATGGTACTGTCCGAGACGGCGGGTGCCAGTAAACATTAGATGACACCATGCGGCAAACGAAAACGGTTCTGTGCGTGCTGGTGGCACTTCTCTTTTGCTCCACCCTCATCTTCTACGTCTCCCTGAACCAGGTGGATCGCGAGCAAGGTCAGTGTTTTGACAAATTCACCCTCGGGTCAGACGCCGACTTTCAAGGTCTCTTTGCGGTTTCAGGGCAGGAGTTGAACAAACAGTCGCTGGTTTTCCACGAAGACTCGCCCGAGCAGTATGTGCTGTCCCGAATGGTGGACGTCCAGCGCAAGAACCACTTGCGGAACCAGTGCCGTCTGATGAACTACTCTGACGACCTCGACTCGGTGCTCAAGGACCAGGAGTTTTTGAGTCACGTCATCGTGGACAAGGAGCACAAGATGCTGTACTGCTACGTGCCCAAGGTATACATATCAGCGAAATTCGCTTCGCTTCTTTTTCGCTGACATAAGAGAACCTCTCCCGTTTCTAAGTCATTATTATTTTATTATTGTGCACACAGGCCGTGTTTTAAGAGGCACTGCAAACTTCCTGTCTCTCTCTGAAGTCAGCAAAAAATTAATGATTTTCTCGTCGCTCTGCGCTTGCAAGCTGTATAGAATGAAAATTCAATTTATTATTTTTGCTGCTTTTTAGCTGATTAAAAAACTTGATTGCTTTCTGACAGGTCGCCTGCACAAACTGGAAGCGCGTGTTGATGGTGCTCATGCAAAAGACGAACGTGACTAAGGTGCTGGACATCACCGCTAGTCTGGCGCACAGCCAGAACATGTTCATGAAGCTGGTCAACTACACAACGCCGGAGGTCGAGCAAATGCTCAAAACTTACACAAAATTCATGTTCGTTAGACACCCTTTGGAACGACTGCTCTCTGCTTACAAGAACAAACTGCAACAAAACTACGAAAGCTCAAAGTAATTTTTTTTTATTATTATTACAAGAAAAGTCAAAGCAATTTTATCTTCAATTTCTTTAACTGAATATTGATACTATGGATTTTTTAATTTAAAAGAATCTTTTAGAAATAAATTTAATATAATAATATCATTCCGTATTGACAGATTCATTAAATATTTTCAATTTTAGGTAATAAAAAAATTACAAGATTAAAGTATGGTACATATGTTAATTTTTATAGAAAAAAATTCATTTTGAATTTTGAAGATAATATTTATTTTTCATTTCAATAATTTCCAATCCTTGAATCCTTTTTAACTTTTACTATCTTCTGCGGCAAAAAATTATAATTTTTTAATATTTTATGCATTTAATAATTTGTTAAGCGTAATTTTGGTTTTTATGATTAAATATTTGCTTCAAATTTTTATAAAATTCTTCATTTTTGTTTCATTCTTAAAAAAAAAATAGGATTCTAATTACTTCATTAATTGCAGGTACTTCAAAAAGCGGTACGGCCGTCTGATCATCCAGATGTACCGTCCGAACGCTTCGCCCGAGGCGCTGGAGAGGGCCGACGACGTGACCTTCCAGGAATTTGCGTCCTACGTCTCAGACACTCAGCTGCGTCCAAACGAGCATTGGCAGCCGGCTGCCGAGTTGTGTCGGCCTTGTGCCGTCCACTATGACGTGGTTGGCAAGTACGAGAGTCTGAAAGAGGATGCTGACTTTGTGCTGAGCCACGTCAGTCGAACGGTGCGCTTCCCTGAACTGCCCAAGCCGTCCAACACCAATGCCAATCTCAAGACCAGTTTGGACGCCCTGCCGGAGTTGCTCCTCGAACGCCTCCAGCAAATCTACGAAGCAGACTTCCGACTCTTCGACTACCAGCCGGTGTTGTGATAAAGAAAGACAGACACCGGCCTTTTAAAGAAATGACAACCCATTGTTAATTTGCATTGATGTCAAATGTGATATTTTGATACTCGAAATAGCCCAGCGCTCTCTCTACTTACGATGGCATTTAACATTTTGTTTTGGAATTGATTAAATGCATTTTTTTTCTCTATCTAACTAAACATTATTCATACAATATTAAATGTGAACTAGTTAAGCCATCTTGATGTGTTCTCCCGAGGCAGGCTAAAAAGTGGATTTTAACCGTAGGAATAATGGTTGCTCTGTTTGACTACCACACGCTAAAGATGTCATAAAAGCACAAATTTTTATGCCAACTATACGTTTTTTAAAGCATAATATTTTATCAGTGATAAACTTAATAAAGCTTAAGATTGATTTTAAAAATCCAACTCGCATGCTATTATTGTATATATATATATATATATATATGTTGCAGCCCAATTACTATAGAAATTTATAGTTTTCTAAACGGTTAGCAGAATGTAGAGGGATACAAGATACAAGTATTAAATTTTCCAGTAAGGTGAAACTTTTTCCTTTAAGTAATGTTCATTTGACGTAATTCCTTTTTAAATTAAATCTTTTTTTTTTAATTATGCTAAGGTAATTAAATCCATTTTTTCTTTAATATTTCTCAAAAATTTATTTTACTTTTCTTGAATGTATGTCTAAGTTTTGGACCTCAAGAGATACTGGCTTTGCGCGAATTATTTAAAGAGTTGCAGATGTGGCCTAACTTGGCTTTATGCAGGCGCTCTCTTACAGAGCACATACAAAAAGTCTGCAAGTGGGCGCTTTCTTATTAAAATTGATAACTTCTTCTCATAAAATTTTAGGAAATATTTGCTGATTGAATTTTTATTGTCCTTAAAATGCACCTGCTTCAAATTTTGTAGTGACTTGTACCACTATTCTGGAAAAAAATAATTTAAAAAAAAAATTGAACCACATGAAAAACTTAAAATTGAATTCAAAATATCATTTATAGTTAATTACAAATAATGGAAAAAATTACTTCTATATGATTTTTATTTTTATTGAATGCCAATATAAACCATTAATTTTTCCATCATTGTGAGCTGATGCTTCACTTGAATCCCTGGATTTTGCAGCAGCAGGAACTAGTTCCTCGTAGATGACGTCCATTTTTCTATACAAGCAACCTACATAACGTAATTATTTTCAACTTATTTATTTAACTTGTTGAAATATTTTGTCTCTTTTACCATTTGGGACATCGGGGACTGCAGAAGGTAAAAGGGCGTGATACGGTTTAAATTTCTCGCTGCCCATTAATTGCTTTCTCATTAGAAAAGAGGGGTTGAATTGTTTTTCTGAGAAATTTGCAGAACAAACAAGAAAGTCTATGTCGTGCAACCTCTCATTTCCCAGATTCTTCACCCAACTGGCTCTTCTATAATTTTGGGAACAAGGAAAAATTATTATTCATGTAAATAAATGAAGGCTTAAGTTCGAACTTAAATATTGAAAAAATAAACTAATAATTGACATAGCATTGAAACCTTTCTGATTCTTTACTCTTGTCTGGTGGTTTGTGGACACTTATATTCTCTTCATATTTCCGTCCACACCTGAAGCAACGTCCTGCTTTAGCCGAGTAGATGTGCTCACGCTTCTCAATTGTAACTATTTGTAAATCTGGATATTTCGCCGCAATCTCCCAGATGTCCGTCATTTTATCTCTCTCCTGTCAACAAACAAAACTGCGTATAAATACTGATATATTTCCAATATTTGACTTTTCCAAGGTACATACTAAAAAAGAGCGGGCGCGTTTTGCCGTGAGCTCTATTTGGCAATCGTACATACCGTGGTATTGGCAAAAATTTCAGAATGGTCCTCCATGTCTCGCAAAAGTGAATCGAGTCGAGCCTTCCCTCAACTAGAAAGCGCCGTCAAAAGATTCTCAAAATGGGTAGAAAATTGAAACCTGTGAACAAGAAAAGCTATAAATACATATATTGAAGTTCAAAATTTTGTCATTCAGTAGAATATATAAGAATCCTTTAGAAAAGTTTAAATCTGTCGGCCCCGCGAATTAACTCACACTTTTCGGCGATCGAACAATTTTTGTTAATCTGCGAGACAAGCGGCCGAATTCGAAGGATTCCGGCGTTTTTCCATCACAAATAAAAATCAAAATAAACAAAAGCAACAAGCAACAATCATCGAGTCACGCCCAGTGGAGCCCCGAACCAATCAGGAGGCTGCTGCGTCTTGAAGAGTCGGGCACCCTGGCGGCAGACTGCCGAGACTGCCCTTGTCTGGCGCGAAACGACAGTGGCGCGGATCCATGGACCTAAGAATTTTTAATAACTCTATTAATTAAAAAAAATAACGCTAGGTAAATCAATGCGCGGATCTTTTTCTCTGCCACAAAGTCACTGACTGGTATAAGTAATTTTTCGCCCAATTTATGTAAAACGCCTTGATTTAGATGTTACTAACTAAAATTGAGAGATTTGCGGAGTTTTCATACCAAGGAGTTTTTTCAACCACCGGGAAGTACTTTTGGAAAGCACATTGACAATCAATGAGAAAAGAAATGAGTCCTTATTCTGTATAACGGGTTATGGGCCACCTTTAATTAAAACAAAACCACGTACAGCAATAACTGCGCAAAAGTTATTAAATCTAAATATTGATCCCACCATAGCCTTCTTATGGCATTGAAGTAATTCGTGGCAAAAACTGATTTACTGATTATGAAAACCTTGAAATTAAAAGTTAAAACAAAAGATATATAAAAAGAGTGTTTGCACTTCTGTCCAAGTATATAGGATCTACATTATACAAATTATTTGATACTGATCGTTTTGTACCTTTGCAATTCACTGACTGAAACGGAATGTAAATTTTGTGTGTTTAAGTAATCAATAAAATTAAATTTAAATATTATGTGAGGAAAGTTCTTCGAAAAATAAAAATTGGCAATGTTCATATTGAACACGCCAATAAATTAATTGTTTACGAGATTTGCCTATAATGGGACTATTACTAAAGAATTTTATCGTTTCATAAATTTAAGTGAGACAATCAATGGAATCTAGAAAGTTTTTTTTGAGCCAGGTGAGTATTTTAATTATGTTTCATTTAAAGCAATTTGCATGCTTTTAAATTGTAAATTATTTTAACACATTTGAACATTTTTTTCTGATATGTTTGATTTTGAAAACTAAAATTATTTTAATTTTCTTTAAGGACTATGTTAAAAGTATGGTTAAAATTATATTTATGTATCACGGCCACGCAAATAAAATAATTTAAACAGGAAGAGTACGTCTCACAGGTGGCCTAATTTGGCATTTTGCAGGCGATCTCTAAAACGAAACTCTTGAAACATTCGAACTTGCATTTTGCAGCAGCAAGAAAATATAAATTATGATATAGAACTTAAAATTTACAGCATTTATGAAATTTAAAAATAGAATCTGGTGGTTATCTTGTTTAGAGTTTCATTAACATTTATAAATGGTGCGCGCTCGCAAAGTCCAAAATACATATCAACAAAAACGCAGTCGATATTTGTATGTATGTTTGTAAGTAAATAACAAGTATTCCCCATAGGCCATAAATGATTAAATTAATATTTAATCATTTTTAAAATGAAAATAGTTTTATAAAGTATATAAAATTAATAACCTTCAAAACGCAATTAAAACCATTTTTTTAAATACTTTGAATGGAACATGATACTTGATGATTTATTATATAATAAATATTATTATTTCATCATCAGTGTTTTGCTTGATTATTTCTCTCCTATTTTTTATTTTAATTAATTTCTTGCCTGCTCTGAAGATTAAAATTTAAGTCTGCACCGCAGTAAGAGGAAGAATATTTTGGTTCCATATAAAATAAGACAGTTTTGACACATTCATAAAATATATACTCTCGCGGAGGGGTCCAGCAAGAGCAAAATAGCAGCAAGACCCCCTGCTCGAACCCTCTGGACATACATCCCAATGGCAAAACTTTAATTTGTGTGATGAAATGTGATAAATAGTCAAATGCTAGATATTTTACACAGTAATGAGGGCTGACACACTTTCGCGCATTGCGCAACCCGTTCCTTGCACGCACACACGGCCCTACACTCTCATGGCTAGGCATATTTTTAAATAATATTGCCTTGTGTATAAATTTAAAGATCCGAAATATTTGTTCGTTGTAACAGAAGAAAATTTTGATGTGTAATTTATATAGAAAAAATGTTTAATAATGGACAAAAGTTTAAATAAAAGAAATTTTTCCAAGTGCTGCGCTTACTAATAAAATCGACGATAATTTCTTTCATGGAATTCACGGATTATTTGTGTAGAGATTAATTACAATTTCCTAAAAAACATCTGCTTCAAATTATTATTGTGACAAGCAACACTATTCTGGGAAAACTGAATTTAAATCGAAATTTTCCTTCCTCGACGAATGAAGTAAACAGATTTTGTGACGCTGTTACCAAGCGCTCTCCGTCCGCACTATTAACATGGTGCGCGACGTCTTTTTAGCTTTTCTGCACCGTGCAAGGGGTTTTATGCAGTCGGGATATTCGTCCGAGCAAATAATGTTCCTCGGATTGCAATTCACGAGTCGGATGGAAATAATTTGCACAGAAAGTCAATTAAATTCGGTGCTCTAATTCTGCATTAGAGTTTGCATGGAGCGCCGCGGTTGTTCGACCTGCCCGACTTTCCACCCGATTTAGGCACACTCAAATTCGAGTAGGCACCTAAAACCAGGTGGAAACACGTTCCTTGGGAACCCAAGTACCGATGGCAAATGAGAAAGGTGCCGACACGTATCGGCGAGTGGCCGATAAAGGCGAAATTCGGCATGTCGAGGCAAAACTTGCTTTCGCTTTTGCTCTTGGATTTGAAAATTGTTGACCGAAAAGTGGTTTGCTGAGTTTGATTTTTACTCGAGCGGGTAGAGGGACTCGTGCTGCGTGTTTTGAGGCTCGAGTGGGCCCGTTGGGCCCTCGCGCGGGGCCGCGGCGAGACGGCAAAGTCGAAACAGAAACACGGAGAGAGCACTTTTCGAGCAACTTTCCGTGGATGTGGCGCGGCTCGGCGCGTGCGCGCTCGGAGCCTCGTACCTCGACTATATAAAGCGGAGCGTGTGGGGGCATGTCAGTTTTCGTTTGGAAAGCAACTCTATCTCATCACTCACCTACCATGGCTGATACCGCACCCGCTGCTCCGGCACCCGCCAGCCCCACCAAGGCGAAGAAGCCGAAGGCCGCCAAGACCGGCGCCAAGAAGGTCGTGCCGACGCACCCGCCGACCGCCCAGATGGTCAACGCCGCCATCAAGAACCTGAAGGAGCGTGGAGGCTCTTCTCTGCAGTAGTGTGTCCAACGGGAACGGGAATTTGCAGGAGTCCCGGGAATTCCCGGGAAAATTGCCTCCCGGGAGCGATTTTGTATCCATTTTTTCAAGGCAGGAGTGAACCGGGAAAATTTTCTCGGGAGCGGGAATTCCCGGGAGCGAAATATTGAAAAACCTTTAGCAAAATTAACTGTTTTTTACAATTTTTCTTTTTTTCAATTTTTCGCTAGAAAAAACCCCGTTTTTTACTCAAAAAAAATCGAATTTTCACTATTAATAAGGAAAAAAACTTTTTCTTAATTACAATTTTTCATTATAAAAATTAAAAATAGTAATAACCGGGACTCCCGGGAAAAATTTTTCGGGAACGGGAATTCCCAGGAGATATTTGACACAGAACTCGCTGGGAGTGGGTGGGAAAAGGAGATTTTTTCCGGGAATGGGACTCCTCGGGAGAAAAATTTACTCCCGATGGACTCACTACTCTGCAGGCCATCAAGAAGTACATCGCCGCCACGTACAAGATCGACGCCGAGAAGCTGGCTCCGTTCATCCGAAAGTACCTCAAGTCTGCCGTCACCGCCGGCAAACTGGTACAGACCAAGGGCAAGGGCGCGTCCGGCTCGTTCAAGCTGAGCGCCGCCGCCGCCGCCCCGAAGAAGGAAAAGGCCGTCAAGCCCAAGAAGCCGGCCGCCGAGAAGAAGGCCAAGAAGCCCAAGAGCCCCAAGAAGACCGCCGTCAAGAAGGTGACCAAGCCGAAGAAGACCGTGGCCGAGAAGAAGCCCGCCGCCGCCAAGAAGGTGGTCGCTGCCAAGAAGCCAAAGTCCCCGAAGAAGGACAAGAAGCCCAAGGTTGCCGCCGCCAAGCCCAAGACCCCCAAGGTTAAGAAGGTCGTCGCCAAGAAGCCCGCAGCCAAGAAAGCCGCCCCCAAGAAGGCTGCCACAAAGAAGGCCTAAGCCACTCGTCAATTCCCCCCTAAATCGGCCCTTTTCAGGGCCACCAAATCTCTCAAATAAGAGCAATGCAAGCAATGGTTGAAATTTCTGAATTTGATAATTATTAAAAGATAATAATGATTCCCATAATTAATTATACATTCTCTATTGAAATAAATAAGAATTAAATGTTTGGTCATAGCTTACAATTGCGGACGTTATTTTCTATTTTTTTTTTCTATTTAGCTTTTCACATTTAGTTTCATTAATTCCCTTCAACTGTTTGACAATTTTTAATTTGTCTTACTTTGCCAAATACATTTTGACAATTCTCATAAGGAAAGAACCTATAAAAAGAAAATTAAATTCTAGTCTTTTACATCATTTCGAATTTCCAACCGCTTTCAATTTCAGATACGAGCGAAAAAGATTGGTACGACATTTAATTACACAAATTATGCTAATCATGTATAGCTCTCCTCTGATCTGAAATATTTAAAATTCATTTCTCATAAACGTTGAGCTGGGAAAGGAGCAATTAAGGCCTCCTTATTGACATAGTCAAATCAAGTCTTTTCAACAATAGGAAATATTTTATAAATAATTGGAAAAATTAACAATCATTGTTGTAAAGACTTGTTTTAACTACGTCAATAAGGAGTCCTTAACGAGAGCGCTTCTCGGCAGTCGCTTGCTCGAACTACGACAAACGCGCTTGCATTTCCTAAGGGTACTTTCGATGAGCGACGGAACCCGAATGATGTAAATCATAAAAAAAATTACTTGTTATCTTAAATAATATAAAAAACCTTATAACAATTAAGTTCACTAAATAATGGAAACTTTGGAACGAATAATTGCGGGCCGAGTGATGCGCGGCGACGGCATCGTCCATTTGCGCGGACTGCATGACTGCAAAAGCGAATTTTGATTAATTTTTCTTTGCCAAGTTTTTTCTATTGCTGGTGGAGAAACATTCCATTTCCTTCAAAACATTGTTTTAAAACTGAATTCAAACATGTGTGATTACGAAAATTTATAATATTCAACAATAATCATTGGACGTGCGAAGGGTGAACTTTTTGTACAGCATTAATAATTAATCTTTGGCCACAAATTTTGATTATTCAATTCGTGCTCAATGCATTCTTATATATTATAGTCTATAAATAATAATCAGTTTGCTTGTTGCCGATTGTGTCGTACTCTGGAGTCGTATTCAGTCTTTTTACGCAGGCCCCTAAACTCTTGCCGCCGTAATATTCACCGCATTTTTAAATGCAGACTTTAAAATTTTGGCTAAATTAATAGGGCCCTTTTTTAGTTTATCAAAGCCGGCGGGACAAATTTGTACCGCTGCGTTTTTCTCATCTAGCATATCAGCTGTTTCAAATAAAATCATTTTCTTGTTGTAAAACTTTCTATGTTTTGATTTTCTGGACGAGGAAAAAAATTACGCACATATTTGTTATAAAATTGTTTTAGCCAGAAGAGATAAACAAAATTTTTATTTTTTATCTGGCTCTTGCTCCGGCTACCGGCTCTTGCGACATAAATTTAAAGGAATAAATCGGATGCAATCATAATTATCCCGCGGGAACCCCGGCAACGTCAAATAAGTAATTAGTTCCTCCCGGCACTGTTCCCGCTCAGCAAAATTAGCACCGTTCCCGCAATTCCCGCGGGAAATTTTATTTTCCCGTTGGACACACTAGTGTGCTTGTGTAAAATTGAAGTGTCTTCAAAACAGTGGCAGTCGGCACTGCCGACTGCCACTGTTTTGAAGACACTTCAATTTTACACAAGCACACTCTTGATTGTAATTGATAACCAAGATTCTGAAAATATATTTGCTAATTTATATACTAAATTTTTTATTCACATCAGATGCCTCCTCACATTGTAGTTATAATTCGTAATAATTTGTGAAGTACAATGTTGAATGCAATAAAAAGAAATGTTACAACTGCATCTGCAACTTTAACTTGGGCAAGTTACGGTGGCTAGATTAATTGTAAAATAACTTCGGATGTAATAAATCGATTCATATTTTGGTTTTATATTTAATTAAAAATATTTCATTGCTTAGGTATTCCGACTGGAGTTACTTGGGTGGCCCTTAAAAGGGCCGATTTTTCGCTGTTGCGTGTTGGGAGCGAACAGCTTAGCCGCCGAAGCCGTAGAGGGTGCGTCCCTGCCTCTTGAGGGCGTAGACGACGTCCATGGCGGTGACGGTCTTCCTCTTGGCGTGCTCGGTGTAGGTGACGGCGTCGCGGATCACGTTCTCAAGGAACACCTTGAGCACGCCGCGGGTCTCCTCGTAGATGAGGCCCGAGATACGCTTGACTCCGCCGCGGCGAGCCAGACGGCGGATGGCCGGCTTGGTGATGCCCTGGATGTTGTCACGCAGAACCTTGCGGTGACGCTTGGCGCCTCCCTTGCCGAGTCCCTTGCCTCCCTTTCCACGTCCGGTCATGTTGATTCTTGTTCAGAGTTGGGATGAATCTGATACTGCCATAGAGTTATCCCCCTCTATTTATACCAGTCGTCGAAAGCAACGGCGGGAAACGGGCCCCTTCCAACCGATTCCGGGCGCGGCAAAGTTGGCCGAGGGGGCGGAGCTAAAAATAGTATAAAACCAGCGGTCGCGGCAGTATCTAGTATGTTTCATCACGTCTCACCATGGCCCGTACGAAGCAAACCGCCCGCAAGTCGACCGGAGGAAAGGCCCCTCGCAAGCAGCTGGCCACCAAGGCAGCCCGCAAGAGCGCCCCTGCCACCGGAGGAGTCAAGAAGCCCCATCGCTACAGACCCGGCACGGTCGCCCTCCGCGAGATTCGTCGCTACCAGAAGAGCACCGAGCTGCTGATCCGCAAACTGCCCTTCCAGCGCCTCGTCCGTGAAATCGCCCAGGACTTCAAGACCGACCTGCGCTTCCAGTCGAGCGCCGTCATGGCCCTGCAGGAGGCCAGCGAGGCCTACCTGGTCGGCCTCTTCGAGGACACCAACCTGTGCGCCATCCACGCCAAGCGCGTCACCATCATGCCCAAGGACATCCAGCTGGCCCGCCGCATCCGCGGAGAGCGTGCTTAAGCTTCGTGCTAACCACCGTAAAATCGGCCCTTTTCAGGGCCACCACTCAAATCCAGTGAAACTTCTGAGCAATGCTAAATGCAAATTTAATATAACCAACAAACCAGTAACCACCCAAGCCAGAATATTAATAGTTAATAGTTACGGAACCCAATTAACTGCAATACCCATCATAATAAGACAATATTTTATGCAAAGTGCTTGCTACGTGGAGATTTGTGGTATTAATGCTGTGTAAAAACAAGATAAAACAGTTCGTTTTCATGGTTTCTACTCCTACTCCTAGCAATGGCATTCATCAAAATATATTAATTTAGCTACTTTTTTTAATAATTTATAAATTAAATAAATTATTTAATTAACCATGTTTTACAATAATACTTACTTAGTTTATAATTAATTAATATGGTAGTTTTAAAATATGTTTTATTAAGTTTTATATATTACAATTAGATTCTTTTAAATAATTGTTTTTGGCGGAAACATTTTTTTTTTAAAATAATTTTTTTAAAATTTCATAGACCCTAGACAAAAGTTCAACTATTAGTATGTACTATTACTATTCATTTTCATTGTGTTCATTTTGTTTCACCACAAGCACAAACTAAACTTGTACGTACTACGAGTATAGTACTTTCGTCTATATCTTATTTTCAAGTATTAAGAATTTTCCCCGCTCAATCTTCTGGCAATAATTTATTAAGTTCAAAAAAATTTGGGAATCCGATTCCAATGGCACATTTTTGTTGGCTGATCAAATTGTTGGAATTGTATTTATAATGTATCATCCTTCTCTCCGCGCTTTTCATTTGCTGCTTCAATTTGTTCAGTAAAAAGTATAAATTATATTTTCAATTTTTACACAACAGTCAATGTAATGAATGAGCATAATAATTATTTATTATACAACAAAAACTCTCTCACAAAATTGCTTTAAAAAAAATTGAGAATCAAGCATCATTTAAAACATGATTCCCCAATCAAAGCTGTCATCAATTTAAACAATAATAAATTAATTTTTAAAGTATAAAATTAAAAGCGATATCTCCGCATAAATTTTATTCTCGGCGGCGGCGAGCACTAACATCTTAAAAACAAGCGTTTGAAAGTCAGACTCCCGGCTTCCCAAAAAAAAGCGACCGTTATTTCGTACTTCATGAGCAGATGCTAAAAAAACTACTGGGGGCGTAAAAGAGACGGAGGCACAGCAGGCGCATGTTACTCGGAAGTCGAAAGAGCTGCAAGCGCCAAAAATTTGTGAGTTCGCGCGCACTTTATATTTTCAGCAGGAATAGAATTAATAAAGATTATTAGAAAATAAAAACTAAAATATTAATACCGAAAATTATATTATGTGAGCAATATTGCTTGCTTTTGTCGGGATTCAATTTTTGCACCTACTTCCCGGTAAATAATTGACCGAATTGACGTATTTCCTGAAATTATAAATTTTTTTAAGTAGCAACAAATTTAGTAACGGTAGCTTCTGCATTGTTAAGAAAAGGTATTTAAAATGTAACGTGACGTTCTTATCAATTAAACAATTGAGACTAAAGACTAAATAATAAAGTTCAAGAAAATAAAATAGAAACTTTAAAAAAAAAAAAATTACATTCTCCGTGTAACAGGACAAATAATGCTGAAGTTGCTGAACATGGAAAAGCTACATGCTAATTAGTGCAAAGATATGTAGTTCATTATTTTAATTTTATTCAACATTATAATGCAATGCAATGCGCCATATTATGTTGTTCTATCTTATACTGATATTACTGATTTAGATATCAAATATTTGTTATTGCTCCGTAACTTTACTTGAATGTTTTGGGTGGCCCTGAAAAGGGCCGATTTTGGATGCCGTTTGCGACTTATTTTGAGCTGGTGTACTTGGTCACGGCCTTGGTTCCCTCAGAGACGGCGTGCTTGGCCAACTCTCCGGGCAGGAGGAGACGCACGGCGGTCTGGATCTCCCGGGAGGTGATGGTGGAGCGCTTGTTGTAGTGGGCGAGACGGCTGGCCTCGGAGGCGATGCGCTCGAAGATGTCGTTGACGAACGAGTTCATGATGCTCATGGCCTTGCTCGAGACGCCGGTGTCGGGGTGGACCTGCTTCAACACCTTGTAGATGTAGATGGCGTACGACTCCTTCCTGCGCTTCCTCTTGCCCTTCTTGTCAGACTTGCTGATGTTTTTCTGGGCTTTGCCAGACTTCTTGGCGGCCTTTCCAGAGGTTTTGGGTGGCATGGTGAGTGCGGTTCAGTCCAAACTGATGCTCGACCCTCGGTCGGTCGCAGTTTATATACAACACGGCTGGAGTGCGACGCGAACCGATCGCAGCGCCACGCTGGTTTCAACGTCGCTGATTGGCTCGGAGGGCGCTGCCGCTCTCATCGACCCGTTTCGCGCCCCACTCCGGCTCGTCGGTACATAAATAAGCTGCCGTCGTTTCTAAGGCATCTGTTTCGTCGACCCCGCCGCAACACGCAACCAACTCATCATGTCTGGACGTGGAAAGGGAGGAAAGGTGAAGGGAAAGGCAAAGACCCGCTCCAGCCGTGCCGGACTTCAGTTCCCCGTGGGCAGAATCCACCGTCTGCTGAGGAAGGGCAACTACGCCGAGCGCGTCGGTGCCGGCGCCCCCGTCTACCTGGCCGCCGTCATGGAGTACTTGGCCGCTGAAGTGTTGGAGTTGGCCGGCAACGCCGCCCGCGACAACAAGAAGTCGAGAATCATCCCCCGTCACTTGCAGCTCGCCATCCGCAACGACGAGGAGTTGAACAAGCTGCTCTCCGGCGTCACCATCGCCCAGGGAGGTGTCCTGCCCAACATCCAGGCCGTCCTCCTGCCCAAGAAGACCGACAAGAAGGCATAAGCACCAATCTTCGAAAATCGGCCCTTTTCAGGGCCACCCAAATCACTCAAATGAGAATGCATAAGCAATGCTATCACGTTTATATGTTATTTATTAACTATTGAGTCGAAAAGAACATGAATTTATAATAGTTGATATTAAGAATATTTAAGCTGTATCTGTTTGATTGTAGAATCTCATTGCAAATATTTTTTTGGATTGGAATTGTTAAATGCTATAATTAAAGTTACATCTTTTAGAGAGAGCCTTCGATAGTTGTTACAAATTTCAATAAATTTATTCTCCCTCTTCCGCAACGAGTCATTTAAATATATGATATGTAAATTAATTTAGCGCATCTTTTGGTTTGGTAGGAGCCTTTAATAATTTTTTTATTTCATACTTCATAGGTTTAATTTATTTTCATTCCTTCAACTAATTTCTGTTAAGCTTCTTAATTCATACACTATCCACGTTATGAGTCTTTTTGGTCCTGTGAATTTTCATTCTTCTTCGCCTTCCTGGAGATTTCTTATGATACACAATGTTGCTTGATTTATCAGATTTCCTCTTTTTCGCAAAAGTATGAGAGGGATTCCTCATTGTACAAGCACAAAAGGCATTTCCGGCCTATTTCCTTTTGGATGAATTCCGATTTTGTTCGGACTATTTCCAAATTATGGGATGAAGTCCGAAAATGCATTTTCGGACGAATTCCTTTTTAATGAAAGGCGGTTCACCTTTCCCAGATCAGGTAAAAGATTAAGAACTGAAATTTGTTGATTTTCTCATTATGGTCTGGTATAGCTTTTAATCTAATATTAACCTTCATTTAATGGGTCTTAAAATATGACACAAGTGAAGGGTTGATTGGGTGATTTCAACGATCTTTATTAATACCAATACAAACAAACATTTATTAATCAAATTAAGTTGTAAACTCAAAATGAGATTCAAGTTAGGTTGCTTTGAAAAATTTCAATTGCCAAACAAATATTGAAAAATTTCCATTTTTTTGTTTTCAAATTTGTGGCTTAAACATAATATTAATATAAAATCCTTATATTCTGACCTGAATTAAAAATGTCTTAATTAACACAGAATTATATCTATAAAGTATATAAATGCCCTACTGATGTTTATATTTCCTTTCGTACACACTACAAATAACACACTAGCATAATTATTATGTATTTTTAGTAAAATAGGGTGAATCAGAAATCGAAGTGTCTCAAATTCGGAAAGATCAGAATCTAGACAAGCAGTTATTTTACTTTTTAATTAGGTGACAAAATTATGATGCAAAATATCTTTGAAAAGCTCAAATTCTCAAATTGAAAATTTGCGAATGTGCCAGAAATCAAAAGCGAAATAATAATTTTTCGTGTTCTCGGGTTGAAACGTCAGCGGCATCCGCAGTCGCCGGCGGAAAGATCTCTACTGGCCACGACCGAGTAGACGCCCTCGTCGACTTCCAGGATGAGTTGCATGACGTTGAAGCTGATAGGGACGCACTGCACGTCGGGGTGGTGGAATGATTCGCGCGAGTTGCGTGACTTGAACAGGTTGCGGGCCAACGCGTGGCTCGACGGCTTCAGGGCAGGGTGCAGGATCGGCCGCGGACACTGACCCACGCACAGGTTGAGGCTCACGTTGGTCGGGTACACAAGGTTGTTCCAACCAAGTTGCCTGGCCGTCACCCCCCAGTCCTCCAGTTGGCAACCGGGCATTTCGTGGCGCGTAATTGTCTCCCTGTGTGGTGGCACCCGACGGGGCCGAGTTGGAAGTCTGGTCACTCCTAGAAACACGGATGTTTCAAATTCAAATTTACTTTTTTTACATAAAATTTAATTTATGAATTGCGAAAATTTCCAATTAATTTTATGTTAATTATTACCTTTTTTTACATTGTGGAACTAATTGCGAGTGCGTTTTGGTGGGGAGATAGGTTTTATTTTATAAATACAATAAAAAATGTAAAAGTCAAATTAATTTTGAATTAAATAATTTATATTTCATATAATTGTTTGTTTATTTCAGTTTTTTATGCTGTAAGTAAAAATAGGATGGAAGCAAAAATTAAATTTAACTACCATGATTGAGAAACAACAATATTATGTTATGCAAACTGTAAAGCTGTTATGTCGAGCAGGTTGCCTACATTTGCGTTTGAATGCACGCTTAAAATATTTTATTTACCTTTTGCCAGTTCAGTGATGAGGAGGAGGGGCCCGCGTGCAAGGCCCTCGATGACGACGGCGTCGGCAGGGGCAACGGGATGGCCTTCGTCGTTCCAGGCCTTCAGACTCAGGGTCAGCGTCTTCTGGTGGCGCGGGTCGACGTTCTCAGTCAGGTTGAACAGGAGGAACTCATCGTGGGCCCAAGTGACCCGCTTGCTCAGCTGCCATGGCTGCTCGGTGCCCCCGCCGGTTACGGTCACCGTCACGTTGGCCGAACCTCGGACGAGGCTGAAGACCAGGGTGCACCCGCGCCGCTCTTTCAAGCTCCACTCGTCGTTTGGAACAAGGAACTTCATTGAAAGAGTCTGCAAATCTGGCGGAAGTATAAATTAAAATTATATTTTTTTGTTTAAAACAATAATACTAATAATTGTACTAATTGCAAGTTTTTAAAAATAAACAGGATTAATTATTATCATTGGAAGTTAAGAAAAATAGGCTTTATTCTCATCTTCTAGATGGGTTGTTTTAAATTAAAAAAAAAAACAACAACAACAATTAGGTCAGTCGCAGTTTGCGACACTATTTAGTATAATCCAATGAAAATTTTTGTTATATATAAATTTAATACAATAATTATTTATTAATTTACTATATGACTAAAATAAAAGATATTAAAAAATTCCTTGATATTCATTCCATTTTTTAATCTGATAAAGTCAAAACAATCTATCGTTCCCAAGTTGAAATTTCAAAATTCTCACCCCTTTCAATTTCAAAATTAATTATGTGTTGAGGTAAAAAAAATTCTCCATGGCCCCCCCCCCCCAAACAATTATTTTATTATAAATTTTTGCCAGACATAAATGGGACGCAATAATGTAGAGACCATTTATGCATTTTCTAAATCGATGACTTCGATGAGTTACATAAACTCAGCAATATTTATTTATCAGATTTGAGCTGCTTTCAAAATTCTACTTTTGGAAGACAATTTTTTTTCCTTTAGATTATTTTTTTTCATATTCAAATTGTGACACAAATATAGGACCCTTTATAAAATTTGTAATTTATATTAAATGATTTAATTTTATATTTATAGGTAATAGAAAATAGGAAATTTCAATTGAGGTCACTTCTGTTTGTCTATCTAACGCACGTGTGCATTGTTTTGCGCGCTACAATATTACAAACATGCTAATAATTCGTGGCAAAAAGGTGTACTTTTGAATTCAGTATTCTAACGCCTTAGTAAGTGCGATTAATTTGGTTAATTTGCATTTCAAGTAGGCCCACTGACGTCAAACGGAGCAAATTTGTTGATTTGCAATTTCACTGCCATATGAATGAAAATGAATGAGGGAGACTTAGCACGCATAAGAAAAGAGCAGAACGAGATATTCAGCGGATTCGCGCTTCCCACGGCCAACTGCGACACAGGTAAAATGACCTGTCGACCTGACTCAGCAAACAAAACATACAACATAATACGAACGTGTGTCCGAGTGTATGAATGGCGCGACAAAATACCATAACAAAAAAGAATATTCAAGAATGTTTGTGCAAACTGTGCGTTTTAATTGAAACTCGTAGTATTAGATTATTTGATAACAATCGTGAATTTAAACAATTAAACAAATAAATTAATTGTTTAGTTATAAAAATAATAGTAAACAATACAAAACAGCGTATCTTGATTAAATAAGATAATGCAAAAAAGTAAAAGTAAAAGAGTATTTAATAATAATTATAAAAATAACATTAATTATACAGTTCAGCATTTTGATATTTACGGTTATGTAAAATTGTTATGTTTAAAGAAAAGCATTACATATTTTAAGTTTTACTAATTTTATTTGTATTATAGTCTATTAAATCTTATTCATATTGTTTATTTTTCACATAAATTGAAAAGTCTTACTTGAGATGAGGTTAAATGGTGCGACGGAGAGGGCCGTGGGGTGCCAGGAGCCGGGGGCCAACAACCCCAGTTCGGGGCTGTACTTCTGGTCGGCGATATACTTGAGGAAGTCAGGGACGGAGGCGGCCTCGTGTCCCCAAATGGGCACCAACAGCACCACCAGCAGCGAGAGTTGCATGTTGCTCAGGAGGGCGACTGTCTAGTTATGAGAGGTGCTGAGGACACCACGTGGGACGGAGGAGGCGCGCGACAGACAGGAAACAGCGCAACTCGAAACGCACACTGGAAACAAGAGAGACGGGAAAAAATTGTCTCGCAGAATCCGAACTGTGGTGAGGGTCTTTTTTCCCATTACATATAAAACAATCCAATGCACTCTCTTCGTGGCACGTGTCGAGCATCAGTTTTGATTTAAAAAATCTACTTTTCTAATAAATATTTAAAAGGTTTTATGAAATTGAACAATTGTTTTTTTTTTTTAAATATACACGTTTGTGTATCTTTCAGTTATTAAAATTATCAAAGTATTGAGCATAATGATTTGTCTTTTTTTGTTAAGTATTCAAAGATAAGAGAGTGCATTTTAGCTGCGTAACCTAATTTTTATTTGTAATCGAAAACATGTCTCGCTTTTTCAATCGGAGGGTATCTCACTCTGTGCTTTTTGTTTTGTTGTTACCAGAGATTGATTGATAACGGAGATGCGAGCGCATGTTCTGTGAATTTTTGTATTTTTGAGCTAAAAAATGTGATTTTGCAGATGCTAATACAAAGACCTATAACACTATATCTACAATTTCCAATTGCATTGTCCGCAAATTTGAAATTTTAAAAATAAAATATTTTTGGTTTCTTTTAAAACGTCAAAGATGCCTTTTGAATTTTTTACATTTCAAAGGACTTTGTGTTTCACATTGTCTAGTATATAATTATAATATATTTAGTTGATAATAAATGATGTTTATTGATATATCACAGAGACATTTTTTGCTGCCCATATCGAGATACATTGATCATACATTCAAAGTTATTATACATTTTAGTCACATTAAGAGAGAAAAACAATTACAATATTTACAATAACAATATTATAAATTTTGAGAAATTACAAAATTTTAAAATTATTAAATGTACAACAAGCAATTAAAAGGTTTTTTCCTGAAGGCTTACATTTAATTTAATTCATGAAAATAGTATAACATTAGTTAAAATAAAATCTTTGCTTTTTATTATAAAATAAAACAAATAAAAAGGTAACTTATTTTGCTCTGTATTTCTACAAACACGGCGAATAATTAAAAACAAAAAATATTCTGGGAAGTCTATTTTTTAAATTTAATTTTGAGCTTTTGCATTTTTTTTAACAAAACGTTTAGACTAATTTGTATATAGCTTCATCAAATCGCAGACAAACCAGGTCAATTTTGATTTTTATGAGATTTCAATCACTTGTGCTCATGGCGGCTTGCCATTGTATTCTCATTTTTGCTTTATCTTGGCACCCGCGCGAAAAACCCACCAGTGATTTTATCAATAGGAGATTCACACGCAGACATGTGATAAGTTGGGCGTATAAAGGAACATATTTTGATTAATCTTGGCTGAGTTAATCACTCATTGTGTGTCAACGATGATAGCGAAAAACGTCTTTCTCGTCGCGATTGTCTTTTTCCTCATGGAGGTGCGTAATTCAAATATGACAACAGGAAATTTTGAAAATCAATTTTGTTTTAGTCGCACTGTGGGGAAAGCGCCAGTCTGAATAACAAAGGTAACAGAGAAAATTAAATCACTGAAAAATTGATTGATACTTCAAATTTGTTAAACAGTTGACTATAGTTATTTGTTGGGGGAGAACTACATGGTGGACTATAGCAATCCATACAACATGCGATCAGAGGCAGTTCGTCAGTGCGAGTTGGCAGGAATGCATTTGCTGTCGATTGAAACTGACGGCGAATGGGAGGCCGTCAAGCTTTGGATTCTCATAAATGGTATTAATTTAATTACTTATTAAATATTCAATTTCAAAACTATATATAATGAATTAATATTAATTTCTAAGATGGGGCACAAATCAATTTATTTTCAAACAAGATTTTTAATTTTTGCAAACCTGTCTCAAATCATAAATGACTGATCCTCAAGTTTCTTTTATAATTATTCATTCTCATCAAAAACTTTTACCTCATCCTGAAAACAGAGAGTTATATAAAAAAAAATTGGCAGAGTAGCGATCGAACGTTATAAAAATTCAAGTTTTCCACCTCTAACCATATTCACTATAAATGATTAAAATGTAACGTACGTTGATATGAAATTTGCATTTAATTAATTTTATAACATTGAGGTGAAAATATATACGATCAAAATAAAGTAATCATTAATAAAATATATATGATTTAAAGGCGTTTACTGGGGTAACTTCTGGACGAGTGCCGTGAAAGAGGCCGGTTCGACGCGGTGGGTGTGGGAGTCAAGTGGAGAAGAGGTGACCAATTTCCACTGGTCCAAATCGCAACCGACGCTAGGGTTCAGCGACACCGTGAAGCACTGCATCGGGTTTAGCGTCGAGCTCGGCGGATGGTACGACTATGTGTGCAACGAGGAATCCCTTTCCTACTTTTGCGAGAAAGAGGAAAGCTGAAAAATCAAGAAACATTATCAATTATCATAAGAAATCTCCAGGAAGGCGATGAAGAATGAAAATTCACAGGAAAAAAAATACTCATAACGTGGAACGTGGATAATGTATGAATTAAGAAGCTTAACAGAAAATAGTCGATGAAATGAAATTAAACAATATGAATTAAAAAAAAATTTAATTATTAAAGGCTGCTACCAAAAGATGTGTTAAATATTAGTATATAAATTATATTACCGCATTAAATATATTTAAATGACTCATTGTGTGAGAATAAATTTATAAAATGTGTAACTATTGATGGCCCTCTCCAAAAGATGTTACTTTTAATGTATACCATTCAATTCCATCGCAAACAAATTCAGTGTTGCTATGAGAAGATTCTACAAACACTCAGATACAGCTTATTTATTCCTAATATTCTTCTTTTAAAAATTCATGATTGTTTAAATTTTTTTTCCGTCGACTGATAATGAATAACAAAAAATATGATAGCATTGCTTATGCATTCTTATTTGAGTGATTTGGGTGGCCCTGAAAAGGGCCGATTTTCGAAGACTGGTGCTTATGCCTTCTTGTCGGTCTTCTTGGGCAGGAGGACGGCCTGGATGTTGGGCAGGACACCTCCCTGGGCGATGGTGACGCCGGAGAGCAGCTTGTTCAACTCCTCGTCGTTGCGGATGGCGAGCTGCAAGTGACGGGGGATGATTCTCGACTTCTTGTTGTCGCGGGCGGCGTTGCCGGCCAACTCGAGGACTTCAGCGGCCAAGTACTCCATGACGGCGGCCAGGTAGACGGGGGCGCCGGCACCGACGCGCTCGGCGTAGTTGCCCTTCCTCAGCAGACGGTGGATTCTGCCCACGGGGAACTGAAGTCCGGCACGGCTGGAGCGGGTCTTTGCCTTTCCCTTCACCTTTCCTCCCTTTCCACGTCCAGACATGATGAGTTAGTTGAGTGTTGCGGCGGGGTCGACGAAACAGATGCCTTTGGAACGACGGCAGCTTGTTTATGTACCGACGAGCCGGAGTGGGGCGCGAAACGGGTCGATGAGAGCGGCAGCGCCCTCCGAGCCAATCAGCGACGTTGAAACCAGCGTGGCGCTGCGATCGGCTCGCGTCACACTCCAGGCGTGTTGTATATAAACTGCGACCGACCGAGGGTCGAGCATCAGTTTGGACTGAACCGCACTCACCATGCCACCCAAAACCTCTGGAAAGGCCGCCAAGAAGTCTGGCAAAGCCCAGAAGAACATCAGCAAGTCTGACAAGAAGGGCAAGAGGAAGCGCAGGAAGGAGTCTTACGCCATCTACATCTACAAGGTGTTGAAGCAGGTCCACCCCGACACCGGCGTCTCGAGCAAGGCCATGAGCATTATGAACTCGTTCGTCAACGACATCTTCGAGCGCATCGCCTCCGAGGCCAGCCGTCTCGCCCACTACAACAAGCGCTCCACCATCACCTCCCGGGAGATCCAGACCGCCGTGCGTCTCCTCCTGCCCGGAGAGTTGGCCAAGCACGCCGTCTCTGAGGGAACCAAGGCCGTGACCAAGTACACCAGCTCCAAATAAGTCGCTAACGGCATCCAAAATCGGCCCTTTTCAGGGCCACCCAAAACATTCAAGTAAAGTTACGAAGCAATAACAAATATTTGATATCTGAATAGTTTAAGATTAAACCACAAATTATAGCGCGCTGCATTATAATGTTAAATAAAATTAAAAGAACCACCATATCTTTATTACGTAAGCGCGGAAGTCTAACATAAGCAATATTTCCATGTTCAGCATTGTTGTTCTGTTACTTTTTGTTAGTATTTTTTTGAATTTTCGATTCATTTTTATTCTTGTACTTTATTTAGTTCAAATTGTGAAGAACGTCACGTTACATTTTAAATAACTTTTCCAAACAATGCAAAAGCTAGCGGCACTTATTTTGATAGTACTTTGCGAAAACTTTTATTTTAGAGAATACGACAATTATTTACTGGGAAGTAGGTGCAAAAATGTGACCCCCAAAAAGTAATATTCGCATTTTGTCATAAAATTATGCCAGCAGGAGCAATTGAGAAAACCATTGCGCCACCCATTTTATTATCTTTTCGGAGACAAAATACAAAGTGCGCGCGAACTCGCAAATTTTTGGCGCTTGCAGCTCTTTCGACTTCCGAGCAACATGCGCTTGCTGTGCCTCCGTCTCTTTTCCGCCCCCAGTAGTTTTTTAGCATCTGCTCATGAAGCACGAAATAACGGTCGCTTTTTTTGGGACGCCAGGAGTCTGATTTTGTTTTTGGGATGTTAGCGCTCGCCGCCGCCGAGAATAGAATTTATGCGGAGATATCGCTTTTAATATAAATACTATAAAAAGTAATTTATTATTGTTTAAAATGATGACAGCTTTGCTTTGATTGGAGAATCATGTTTTAAATGATACTTGATGCTCAATTTTATTTTTTAAAGCAATTTTGTTCTGAAATTTATAGATTTGCAAATTGTTTTTGAAATATTTCATGAGAAAGTTTTTATTGTATAAAAAATAATTCTCATGCATTACATTGAATGTTGTGTAAAAATTGAAAATATAATTTATACCTTTAACAAAACGAATTGAAGCAGCAAATGAAAAGTGCGGAGAGGATTATAAAAACAAATTGGTCTGCCAACAAAAATTTAATACACACCAATCTTAATATAAGTTTCAGTTTAATGTTTATGTAATGTGAACTTATTTAATTTTGTTAATTGTTAACAATCATAAATTTTATCAACTTAATTAACATTTGATTATAAAATTCTATAAGTTAAATTTTTATTTAATTCATATTAACTTATATGTAATACATTTATAATTTACTTTTGTTCATGAAACGTTGACACTTAATCAAAAATCATTTGTCCTCTTTGATTCAGTTTCTAAACTAAATTGATTATTTTTGGCAACTCTTCTATTTATGATTTATCAGCATTTTCTAACAAAATCATAGAATCAAATAATGTCTCTGATTTTTTTTACTTCATTTTCAATTATTATATTAATATATTAACAATTTTATATAAAAATCTTACTTCCATACCTATAGCAACCTATTGGATTTATCTTTATAAGTCAATAAAGAGCAATAATACTGATATACACTTATATATAGTAATTGAAAATTAAGTAATACATTGTGAAACATTTTTTTATACCATGACTTTTTTGGAAATACTGATCAAAATAATAAATAGAAGAGTCGCCAAAATTAATCAATTTCATTTAGAAACTTTGAATTTTGAATAAGTGTCAACGTTTCATGAACTAAAATAAATTATATCTCTCTACATAAGTGGAGATAATATGAATTAAAAAATTAAACTTATATTTTATTAAGATAGATGTGTATTAAGTTGACTTTATGATACATCAAAACTAAAATGAATTCAAACAAAATAATATTGCATAATAAAAAAAAATATTAGCCTATATGGTTCCAAAACCCACTAGGACCGATGTGTAACATAAGCGATGATAAAGTTACTAAGTTTCTGAGACCCGTCGAGACTCAAGACCTACAAATACCAATGATCTCAAGCAAGCAGTCTCAATGGGTCTCTTCTCTGACAAGGGAATAAAGGGTACTGCGGTTAATATTTTACTTTTTTCTGTCTATGGTATTGAGGTTATTATAGTTATTAAAATTTCATTGCTCAGAAATTTCACTGGATTTGAGTGGTGGCCCTGAAAAGGGCCGATTTAACGGTGGTTAGCATGAAGCTTAAGCACGCTCTCCGCGGATGCGGCGGGCCAGCTGAATGTCCTTGGGCATGATGGTGACGCGCTTGGCGTGGATGGCGCACAGGTTGGTGTCCTCGAAGAGGCCGACCAGGTAGGCCTCGCTGGCCTCCTGCAGGGCCATGACGGCGCTCGACTGGAAGCGCAGGTCGGTCTTGAAGTCCTGGGCGATTTCACGGACGAGGCGCTGGAAGGGCAGTTTGCGGATCAGCAGCTCGGTGCTCTTCTGGTAGCGACGGATCTCGCGGAGGGCGACCGTGCCGGGTCTGTAGCGATGGGGCTTCTTGACTCCTCCGGTGGCAGGGGCGCTCTTGCGGGCTGCCTTGGTGGCCAGCTGCTTGCGAGGGGCCTTTCCTCCGGTCGACTTGCGGGCGGTTTGCTTCGTACGGGCCATGGTGAGACGAGATGAAACATGCCAGTTATTGCCGCGACCGCTGGTTTTATACTATTTTTAGCTCCGCCCCCTCGGCCAACTTTGCCGCGCCCGGAATCGGTTGGAAGGGGCCTGTTTCCCGCCGTTGCTTTCGACGACTGGTATAAATAGAGGGGGAAAACTCTAAGGTAGTATCAGTTTCATCGCAACTCTGAACAAGAATCAACATGACCGGACGTGGAAAGGGAGGCAAGGGACTCGGCAAGGGAGGCGCCAAGCGTCACCGCAAGGTTCTGCGTGACAACATCCAGGGCATCACCAAGCCGGCCATCCGCCGTCTGGCTCGCCGCGGCGGAGTCAAGCGTATCTCGGGCCTCATCTACGAGGAGACCCGCGGCGTGCTCAAGGTGTTCCTTGAGAACGTGATCCGCGACGCCGTCACCTACACCGAGCACGCCAAGAGGAAGACCGTCACCGCCATGGACGTCGTCTACGCCCTCAAGAGGCAGGGACGCACCCTCTACGGCTTCGGCGGCTAAGCTGTTCACTCCCAACACGCAACAGCGAAAAATCGGCCCTTTTAAGGGCCACCCAAATAACTCCAGTCGGAATACCTAAGCAATTAAATATTTTTTAAATAAAAATTTATATCAAATTATTGAATATCCAACAATATACTCCACAAATTGTTGACATCTTCTCGTCATGATGTTTACCGCAACGACAATGTGCGACTAAGACAGTTGGAGGCATATGATGTGAACATAAAATTGTTAAGTTTTTCAGATTCCCGATTATGTATTAATGACAATGTAGAAGGTACTTATTAAAACTTAGTTTATTTAAAACAGCGGCAGTAATGCAGTGAAGACGAATTTATATATTAATAAATGATTTATTTTTTAAATATAGGTTTTCATCCATCGGTTTTGAAATATTTATGCATTTATTTCATAATATGAAACTCAAATTGCAATTTGCTGCAATAATTTCCGCTTCTTGAACAATGCGAACAGAAAAAAGAAACAGCTAAGAGGGCTTATACTGGGTATCGCGTGCTCACAATACGCATAAGGCGGGGTTGATTTGCCCCTAAAGAGCGATCGAGCAACTGCCGAGAAAGGATAGACCGCAAAATGCCGCGGCCAGACCAATAAATTTTACAGACGCAATTTTTTTTTAATTTTTTTGTATTAATTGTTAACAGCATATAATAAATTTTCAATACCTACAGAAGCTAATTAAGGGCCCTATTAATTTACCCAAAATTTTAAAATCTGTATTGAAAAATGCGGTGAATATTACGGCGACGAGAGTTTAGGGGCTTAAAAAGACTGAATACGACTCCAGAGTACGACAATCGGCAACAAGCAAACAATGCACTGATTATTTTTTATAGACTATAATACATAAGAATTCATAGAGCACGAATTGAATAATCCAAATTTGTGGCCAAAGATTAATTAATGTTGTACAAAAAGGTCACCCTTCGCAATTCGCATGGTGAATGATTATTGTTCCTTATATTATAAATTTTCGTAATCACACATGTTTGAATTCAGTTTTAAAACGATGTTTTGTAGGGAATGCATAAGAAAAATAAATCAAATTCACTCTTGCAGTCCGCGCAAATGGACGATCGATGCCGTCGCCGCGCATCACTTGGCCCGCAATTATTCGTTTCAATGTTTTCATTATTTAGTGAACTTAAAAGTTTTTTAAGTTTTTTTTTTTATATTATTTGAGATAACAAGTATTTTTTTTTATGAGAATTCCGTCGCTCATCGAATGTACCTTCGGGGGGGGGGGGGGGGAGGGGGGGTACAAATTCAAGCGTGCGTTTGTCGTGGTTCAAGCAAGCGACTGCCGAGAAGCGCTCTCGTTAAGGACTCCCTATTGACGTAGTCAAATCAAGTCTTTACAACAATGATTGTTAAATTTTCCAATTATTTATAAAATATTTCCTATTGTTGAAAAGACTTAATTTGACTATGTCAATAAGGAGGCCTTAATTACTCCTTTCCCAGCTCAATGTTTATGAGAAATGAATTCAAATTATTTCACAATTTTCACATCAGGTGGAATCTAGAAAATTAGTATAATTTTTAATTAAATGTCGTCCCAATCTTCTCCGATCGTATCTGATTTTATTGAAAGCGGTTGGAGGTTTGAATTGATGTAAAAGGCTAGAATTTAATTTTTTTATTCTATTCTTATGAGAATTGTCGAAAATATAAGCAAACCTTTCAGTGCTTGATGGCGATGAGAGATGCGGTCAAATTTGAAGGTTTATGTAGATCAGCTGTAAATTAGATTTGTCATTCATATATTTTGCTAAGACAAATAAAAAATTGCCATTTAGTTCAAGGGAATTAATGAAACGAAGGAGACCTGAGAATATTAATTTGAAAAAAATTGAAAAAAAATTTTTACTTTTAAATATAAACACATCCTATGTCGATAAATTTTACTTCTTCATTACTTTGATAGAGAATTTAAAATCAATTACGGAATCATTAGTATCATTTAATAATTATCAACTTGGGAAATTTTAACCATTGCTTGCATTGCTCTTATTTGAGAGATTTGGTGGCTCTGAAAAGGGCCGATTTAGGGAGGAATTGACGAGTGGCTTAGGCCTTTTTGGCCGCAGCCTTCTTGGGGGCGGCTTTCTTGGCTGCGGGCTTCTTGGCGACGACCTTCTTGACCTTGGGGGTCTTGGGCTTGGCGGCGGCGGCCTTGGGCTTCTTGTCCTTCTTCGGAGACTTGGGCTTCTTGGCAGCGACCACCTTCTTGGCGGCAGCGGGTTTCTTCTCGGCCACGGTCTTCTTTGGCTTGGTCACCTTCTTGACGGCGGTCTTCTTGGGGCTCTTGGGCTTCTTGGCCTTCTTCTCGGCGGCCGGCTTTTTGGGCTTGACGACCTTTTCCTTCTTCGGGGCGGCGGCGCTCAGCTTGAACGAGCCGGACGCGCCCTTGCCCTTGGTCTGTACCAGTTTGCCGGCGGTGACGGCAGACTTGAGGTACTTGCGGATGAACGGAGCCAACTTCTCGGCGTCGATCTTGTACGTGGCAGCGATGTACTTCTTGATGGCCTGCAGAGAAGAGCCTCCACGCTCCTTCAGGTTCTTGATGGCGGCGTTGACCATCTGGGCGGTCGGCGGGTGCGTCGGCACGACCTTCTTGGCGCCGGTCTTGGCGGCCTTCGGCTTCTTCGCCTTGGTGGGGCTGGCGGGTGCCGGAGCAGCGGGTGCGGTATCAGCCATGGTAGGTGAGTGATGAGAGAGTTGCTTTCCAAACGAAAACTGACATGCCCCCACACGCTCCGCTTTATATAGTCGAGGTACGAGGCTCCGAGCGCGCACGCGCCGAGCCGCGCCACATCCACGGAAAGTTGCTCGAAAAGTGCTCTCTCCGTGTTTCTGTTTCGACTTTGCCGTCTCGCCGCGGCCCCGCGCGAGGGCCCAACGGGCCCACTCGGGCCCCAAAACACGCAGCACGAGTCCCTCTACCCGGTCGAGTAAAAATCAAACTCAGCAAACCACTTTTCGGTCAACAATTTTCAAATCCAAGAGCAAAAGCGAAAGCAAGTTTTGCCTCGACATGCCGAATTTCGCCTTTATCGGCCACTCGCCGATACGTGTCGGCACCTTTCTCGTTCGCGATCGGTACTTGGGTTCCCAAGGAACGTGTTTACACCTAGTTTTGGGTACCTACTCGAATTTGAGTGTGCCTAAATCGGGTCGAAAGTCGGGCAGGTCGAACAACCGCGGCGCTCCATGCAAACTCTAATGCAGAATTAGAGCACCGAATTTAATTGACTTTCTGTGCAAATTTTTTCCATCCGACTCGTGAATTGCAATCCGAGGAACATTATTTGCTCGGACGAATGTCCCGACTGCATAAAACCCTTTGCAAGGTGCAGAAAAGCTAAAAAGACGTCGCGCACCATGTTAATAGTGCGGATGGAGAGCGCTTGGTAACAGCGTCACAAAATCTGTTTACTTCATTCGTCGAGGAAGGAAAATTTCGATTTAAAATCAGTTTTCCCAGAATAGCGATGCTAGTTACTTATCTTGATAAAATTAAAAGTACTTAAGGGAAAAATAAAACCAATTTATTGAATACTAATCATTTAATTCTCTAATTGTGAGTAACAATTTATCAACACTTTTTTATAAGTGGGCTCATGCACTCTATACATTATTTTACTTTGTTACTCAAACGAAATATTTTTTCTTCATTAATATTTATTGTGTGACTGAAATCATTATTTCAGTTTATAAAACTAATTTACAAGGCTAAATATATATTAATATATGCTTAATATAGCCAACGAGAGGTTGTGTGATTATATGAAGGGAACGTGTTGCGCAATGAGCGAAAGTGTGTCAGCCCTCATTATACTTTGTTAAATATATTACTATTGCTATTTTTTCATAATTTATAACTTATAACTACTGAAATATTAGAAGATGAAAAAATAATTTTTAAATGAACAACTGCTAAATATCTTTTAATGTCATATGAATATATTAAAAAAAAAAAAAAACATCATGACTAGTTTGCAAAAAAAAACTCTGCAGTCCTATTTCAAACTCATTCTTATTATGTAAAACAGGGAGATATAAAATAGGTGTCACTTTATTAGTTTAAAATTGTTTTTTTTTATAGCCGCTATATTTCTCTTTGCATAAAGTTAATGTGCGTTTTTTTTTTTTTTTTTTTAATATTTTATCTCGTGTAATAGGGCTGCTAAAACTCTAGTCAACGCTGTTTTTGCCAACATAAAAATTTATGAAACGGAGGAAAACCCCACCATCCATCATTATTTCAACGGCTCAACTGGAAATTCCATAAAAAAAAATTCAATTATCTGAAGTGATCAAGCCGAGGTTTCCTAACTATTCTGCTTAGAAATAAGTGCGTTCTTGGTAGAATAATTTACTAAATAAATAATAACATCTTTTATTGGCATTGCAACTTTTAACTATTTTTTTTTTATAATATATACAAATTTTTAGTGTACTATCAAAGATTCCGGAAGATTCAATAAATTTTAAATGAATTCGGTTTTGTTTTTCTCAAAAATGTCGAAAGAAGATTTCCAAAAGAGCACGTCTGCTTGTTATGCACTATGAAAATTTGTAAAAATCAAGGTACATACAATAAAATACAACCGATAAAACATAAAAAAAAGCTGGAAGCCAGCCATCACCTAAAAATTTTGTGGTTGAAGTTTTCCATCGTTCTCCATCAGAAGCACCATAAGTTTAAATTTAAGGTAAACGAACGTAGGCCACCTGCTTGACATACAAGCCTTGCGGTTTGCATAGCTTGAACACTCGTGTGCAAAATTTTAGTTTTATAAATTCATAAATGAACTACTGCATAACGAATTTTTCATAACTTAGTTTTAAAAATTGAACTGGTAAAAATGTTATTATTTATAAGCTTTTAATTAAATTATGATGTGGGAAAATAAATTATGATAAAATATTATTAATTAATCAATTTCATGGTTCAAACCATTTCAACTTTAATTAATAAACTTACTTTCTTCCAGCTTTCTTACTTCGATATGAGGTGCATTATAAATTACAATAAATTTTAGTTTAAATAGAAAAATAAATTATCCAGCAATAAGAAAATAACTTTGAATGTGTGTTTTAAGTTTTGTTATGACATGTATTATTTTAACAGATAAAAAGGCAGCTGACGCAACAACAGCTTTTAAAGTATTTATCGTCTTCGACAACGCAGTACGTAAAAGGAGGTTAAAATAAAATTGTTTAGCCTTGAGAATGTTGTTTCTTATCAGCAGCAAATTCCACAATAAGTCAAAAAGATATTGCCAAAATAAGCTTTTCTTTAAACCCAAAAGTGAGTTGAATTTTTAAGCGTAAAATGCTGATGTTGTTAAAAATCGTATATTTTAAATAATCAATTTTACAATAAGGATGGGAGAAATTCCAAAATAATAAATACTTTTTAGTCAGATTATACGCGCATTTTTTATTATATAGGGCCACGGTATTTTAATTTTATGTCGCTGGATAATTTTTGTGACTTGTCGAATTGAAAATATATGGTATGTTTTGAAAGTTATGAGACACATTTCGTTGATTAGCAACAAAATGACGTAAAAACCATAAAAAGCTTTTGCGTATTTCGCACTTAAATGGTAAAAAGGTGCAGTGTTAAAAACCGAGTCACTTTCTTGCATCAGTACGGGCGGAAAAAAACCCAATTATACGGATTAGTAAACACCGCCTAGAAAAAAAAATCATTTTCTTCCACATTATTAAACGCTTAATCATCAACCTTCAGAACTTGACGTAAAAAGCTCTAAAATTTGCAATAAGGGCTAAATTAAATTCAAATAAATTGATTTAAATTTAATTAAAGAGCCTAAATATTATCATGTGAATTAAAAGTAAATTGAATTTTGTCTCATTAAAGTAAATTCCAAGAAAAGCTAAAACAGTTTCTTAATTTACAAAATCTCTTTAAAATAACTTCTTATTTCTAAACATCCTGATTATGGTGTTTTTAATCATTTTCTAGGAGGAAAAATTAAAGCCTGGGCAACCCCTCTAACTATACCGGACGCACCCTCCAAAGGTGCAGCATTATAGAATTTCATTTTCTCTCCTGTTTGACGAACCACCTGCCGCCCACACGTCACCTGTTATTGCCGGACGCGAGGAGCATCCGAGCAGCAAGTTTTCCGCTTCCTGAACACCAACACTGCTCCCTCTGTTGCGACGATTAACAAAAAAATTATTATTGGACGTAAAAATTCACCAGAATAAGCGATCGCCGATAAGTAAAGCTCTTCAGAATATAAAATATAATGCCGGCTGCTCTCGCAAACCGCGAAATGCATCCGGAATAAATGAAATGATGCGTCAAAATTCTTTGAACAACGATGAGAGAAATCGAAAATTTAATTCTCAAATATTTGTGAATTGGAAAGCATAAATGAAAATTTAGTTTATATTTTATACTTGAGAAGAAACCACATAAATGCGCATGTCATCCTATAAAATTATTGTATTTAAAATCGTAAACGCTTATATTGACTCAGAAAAAGTTAAATGTTTAAAATACATTTATTTAATATTGGAACAAACTTTTACTTACTCATATGAAAATTATTTTTCTCATAATTTCATCTTTTAATTTTTGAAATTTGAAAAGAGTTTACATTCATCAATAAATCAAGATTGATTTAATTAGTTATTGAAATTTTTAAAAAAATTTTAAGCTCTCCAATAAGTGGAAAATTACTATAGCAATTTAACATTTGGATTTGCAAAAACTTAAAAATCGTATATTTATTGTCAAATGTCGACAAAATTATTGATCGTAAAATTTTTTGTTTTACTTTTTTCTACTTAAATGAAATTTTTACCAGGTGTAGATACTGATTTATTTTTTTAGTGTGTATTCTTTGACCAACTTAAAATCATTAATAAAAATATCAGAAAAATAAAAGTGGTAATTTAATTTAATATTTCATAATTACACCAGATCATCATAACAATTATTTTAAACATTTCAATTGGTTCAAAAATGTTTTTTGTTGTAATCAGTTGTAATTAGTAATTTTAAATACACTTTTGACTCTTAATTTGTTATTTTAGACTTATTTTAAATAATGATCACATTTTAATGCGATTATTAAATGAAAAAATTAATCAATAATTACCATTAAAATTTTGAGATGTTTTGACTTTTCTTGTTTGTCACACATCTATGCAGATCGGTATACACAATAGAAAATAAATATATATCTTAACCATCAAAAAAGTTGATTGATGGTTTTCTTTCTCTGTTATCCATTGTTGGTGCACCAGAATGGTGGGAGAGGGCGGCCTGCTCTAACTCCTCATCACTCATGGTGGAGCCAGGTGGGGAGTGAGTCACGAATAACAGCAGTTGTTGTCGCTCCGGTAGACTCAGGTTGCAAGTCTCTCGGCAGCCGCGCCGCCGACCTGACGCACTGCCGTTCTCTCGTGGTACCTGACGATGTGATTTACCTGACAGGCCTTCAGTTTTTTTCGCATCGCAAAGACCCCGAAACAGAAGAAGAAGAAATGCAGCCCAGTGAGTATTAAATTTATTAAAATTCAAGTAATTTTGCGTCCTGGATGAGAAATTATTTGAGGAATTCAGGGAGGGCCTGCAGCTATGCGCGTGCATTTGTCCTACTTTGAGAGATGAAAAGCCGGCTTCGCTCACTCGTCGTCGTTTATAATAAAATTCTCGCGCGGCTGCAACTTGTGTGAATGGAGGAGAGAATCTCTCTCTTTGTCTCGCTGGCTTACGGCTCTTTTTAAATCGAGCGGATAATTGCGTTTTTTCAACGGGATGCGTTCGCGTGCATAATTTTTACAACGCGTTTAATAAGCTCGTTGAACCTTTGAAATATTACAAAAGTATAGCAGCAACAATTGCTGCTAAATATATTAATACAAATAAAAATTTTGAGGGAAAATTTAATTATTCCCACAAAACTAATACTACATTTTAACAAACAAAAAATAACAAATTAGATTTTAATTTTACAATTATTTAAGGAAAAATCGTGAAAAAAATTAGTTTGAAGAAAAACTGCAAATATTCGTTAAATATTTTGTTATTTAATAAAAGCAAATTTTAAAATTCATCATTCATGAATAATTAATTTTCAATAATTTGCCAATTTCGTATTTTGTAAGCATACAAATAAATAATTTAGATTTGACAGGAGTTTTTTTTAAAAAAAAATTAAATAATCGAATCTGTTAATTATTCAGGTAAATTTTAATATTAAACCTCCAATATTTATCATTTGTCAAAGTAAACAAATAATTATACTTATTTTAATTTCCTTATTGCTTTAAACACTGAAGTTCCCATTTTTAGGCTCCTTATGCCAATTAAATGCATCTTGTAAATCATTGTAAATACTTATTCTACCTGCTAAATGAAGTGTATATTCTGGTTAACTTTGAATTTAACAAATTAATAATTAATGTTGCAATTTCCTGCTGCATCATATATTATTATTGAAGTTAAATTTTGGGGACACTTGTATTTTGAAACAATTTTTGTGTTTATTTAAAAAATCAACATGGCAAGCAGAAGAAAATCACTAAATACATAGAAAATGAAGAAAAATTAATTTGGAAATTTTTAGCAAAGATTTTAGTAATTTAATTAATTTTAACAAAGTTTCACTTGCAACGCTTGTTTTTAAATGTGACATTATTGCATTTGTTAAGTAGGGCGTTTATTTAAATTAACTGGTTATTTTCCTATATTGCAACCGCGTGGCGTCTAATTGCGTTTACCTTACTTGCTTTTACAAAACTAAACTAATATAGTACCGCTCTCTAGTGTCCGCTTTCCCACGATAAACTAAAGTGACTAATGCGCGCCGAGCCCAACGTGAATCAGTTTGACGTGCAAATTTGCACACACAGAACGTCAATTATATGTATTTTCCTATATTTCTCAACTTTAATATGCGGTCACTCTTTATTTTATTTCACCTTCATGAGTAAGTGCGAGTTGCGTCACATTTTTTTTTCTTTGCAAAATTTCAAATTTATTCTCTGATCGAAATCTTATTATTAATTCAAACAAGCATAGTTGTTACGAGGGTAAGGAGCGACGCACATATAATATTGTTAAATGCATCAAGTCATCAGATGATTCAACTCATACAACAATCGACGACCGCGTCCTCGAATACTAATTAGAAAAGAAAATTCCACGGAGTACGCGCATAACAGACCTTGTCAATGTAAATTAAGCGTACTTATCACCTGGAAATTTACATTTTTCTTAATGATTGTTTATTTTTACTTCAGACATCAGAGGAAACAAATAATAAGTTAATTTCAAGACTCGTTGAGAATTTTGTGGAGAGATAATTTTATCAGTGAACTCATTTAACAAGGCCTCTTACAAGGAATTTTTGTTTTAAGAGTATTAACTGCCTTATTTAGTAATCTTCTGCTTGATTGAAGTATAATGGAGTGTAGACATTATCAATTTGTCTCAAATTTATAAATTTCATTTTTTTAAATTTCTTCCCTGATATTTTGATAATCGCTCTTGGAAGAAATTATAAAACACAAATGCCAAATTTTAAATTTTACTATTCAAGAAAAAAAAAACGATAATTTTGTGCTCCTAGCTCTTTAAATTGCGATCCTATGCTATTTTCAATCCCTATAAGTTGACCTTTTCTGAAAATATAGGATTTTTTGACAAATCAATACCTTTACTATTCGTTCGTGGAATTTTTAATAATTTCAATTTCCTATAGATGCATTTTGTGTGATTAATCTTATCTTCAGCTTCAAGGATTATTTTTTATTTTTTAAGAAATGTTTACTTTTTTCACAATTTGTTTTTGTACTTCTTGTTAATCTACAACAATTGTTTTGATATAATTTGGAAAATCGATTTAGTTTCAAATATAAGATTTGCAAGATTCAATCTGATCCTAAGTTACATATTAATTTTATCCTCCAATTAATTAGCAAATAAAAGAGATTTTATTGGTTTTAATATTAATAAAGAAACATACTTTCTTTAATAAAATTTGTGTATAAGTTTCGTAAATTTCCATCTTAAACCTTTTTATAATTTGAATTTAAGATCAGAATCCGATTTGATCTTGAGATTTCAGTGACTTTAATTCCAAAGTCTGAAATTGTCTTTGAAAGTGAAAAGTTTTTGACAAGTGTGAGATTAAAATCTTGTCTGTTAAATAAAATCACTTGAGAGTTGCATCCTTTTCCAATCACGATATAGAGTGCGAATATTTTAACGTTTTATATTTCAATTTTAACTTTGAAGTGCAGAAATTCGCCGGTCTCGATTGTTCAATCGTTTATCAGAGAGAGGCGCAGCACCACAATTCGCTGCAATAACGAACCTCGGCGCGCGTTCTCTGCACTGCACGTCACCGAAAGGCAATCTTATCAGCGAGTGAATCGCTCGAGATAACCAACCGACTAAGGCTTATTATTATTTTATTGGCTCGCCGAGAATTGACACACGCGCCTGGAATGCAAATGCACGTCGAATCGACAATAATTCCAGTGCGAAATTAAGCGAACGCGTCCAGCCAGAATTCCTTCCGTCGGTGTCAACTTTCCCGAAAGAAGCAAAGGCGGACCTGCCGCTTCCTGTGCTGAACGACAGCTGCACAGAGACACCTGAAAAGTGCTGCAGGGAAAAACGATCACCATGTCCATCGTCTACAGAGGTAACAAAAAAAAATTGCTGATAAGGCTGCTGCGCTAAATCTCTCTTTTGAAGTAATTTGGAAAATTTCCTGTTCCGTTTATTTCTCCAATTCTTATTAAATTACGGCTACAATTGATCACTAAAATTTTAACAAAATGTTTCCCATCAGTTCAATTTAAAATTTAAATTAGAAAACTATTTGTATTTTGTTATCATAAGTGAGGTAATTTACAATTTGGTAATTTAGTCTGATCATGAAAATTTTTAAATAGAAAAAATCTCATATACGAAGTCATTTAACTAAAAAAAATTAAATTTCAAGACTAATCAATTAAACCATCCTTAAATTTCTCAATATGGAAATGGCCTCTACATAAAATGCAGAATTTAACACAGAAATAAATTTTGCTTCTAGCATCTCTTAACTTTTTAAGTTGATCATTTTGAAATGATAAATTTTATGCAAGAAAAATTGCCTCATTTTAAAAAATTTTTTACTGTGAGACAATGAAACTGAAATTTCTTATACATAGTTCTATTAATTGGGAAATAATATTGTCTCAAAAGGACATAAATTGCTTGCATTTCACAAGACTGGATGAAATTTGGAAGTAAGAAACTTTTTGCTCAGGATAAAAGGACTTCGTATTATTGAAATATGAATCAAATCAAGACCTTAACACAATGATGGTTAAAATTTTTAATTTATTCCCCATTAATTGCCCTACCTACTTAAAGTCTTGATTAAGAAATCTTTAAAGAGTGGAAATTTTCCAATGAAATAAATTTGAAAAAATAGACATTTGAAATTTACACAAATCTCAATAATTTTTTTATATAAATTAAAGGTTCATATCAAAATTATCATGTGACCTTTCCAAAGTCACATGTCTCTGATCTTTTTATTGAGCCATGCTAATTAAAATCATAAAAATCGGCGCCCGCTTTGTTTAAAATTGCCGCACCTTATCTGCGGTGGCGGCTCCGAGTGCAAAGTAGAAAGGGACCCGCATAATTCATTTATTATTACATTATTATTTCACTGCTCTTGCTCTCTCGCCTTACTTGGGACGCACTGACATAATAATTGATTTTTCAGCCTCGGTCACACCACGTGCACCATTGTGCCAGTTTTGTAATCGCGTTTAAAACCTGCTTTGCATTTTTAGGAGAGCCCGCAATTGATTGGGAAAAGCCGAAGAGCACTTTTTGATTGAAGGTGCTTCGCTCAAGGTCAATGGATTATATTTTACCTTCAGCTAATAATTGCGTCTTTCCATAAAAAAAATAAGCTCATAATTCAAATGAGAGATAAAATTTTATAACTTTTGAGAGTATTCAATTTATCATAATTAATCACCAAGTGAGTCGGAATTGAATCAAATTATTTTACTAAAATTAACTTGATTTTATTATTATTATTATTTTACATTTCAATTTACGTTATGATAATTTTTTCTTCACAATCCCCCCATAATAAGTTTTCGATCACATGCTAACGTGTTTGGAAAGCATAAACTAATATTTATGCTTTCTCTGTGCAAATATCAAACAATTTGTATTTGAAGCAAAAATGCTGATTGTGCGAAAACTTTGCTTCCTGCTCGAGTGCAAATCGATTGCGAAAGAGCACGTCGCACACACAGCGACACCAAATACATTATTTATTTTTGCTGCGAGTGCTGCAAAACGAAAATTCCATTCTCTCTGCGTCCGCGGCTTTGCGCAAACAGTCTCTTTTGTACTTTTGTAAATGTGCCGCGCCGTGCAAAGTAAACTAAAAAGAAAGAGAGATCCGTGCGCGTTGCAAAAGCAAATGGAAAATTTTTGAAATTCTTGGAAATATGTCGGATTCCTGATTTTTTTTACTCAGGCGCATCCAAGGCTAAAAAGAAGCGCCAATTAAAATGAAAATTTCAAGTAGAAATTAAATGGGTCCAGACACATATATGGGCAAGAGTTGAGAAACACATTCGTATATTGAAAAGTGAAAGGAAGGACAAAGAACATAAAATGCAGATCTAGATCTTGCTCCGTGCATAATTCATAATAATGAATTATGAAAATAATTCATAACAATGAATTATGCTGTGAAGTATTTTATGGTGAACGCTTCAAATGATTGAGCTTTAAACTGCGGCGTTCAAGAAAATATATTGTCATAAGTAAATGATGTATTCATAATCATATATAATTTTTAGTTTTATATTTTATGGCTTCTACAAAACTAAATACAAAATGGGCAGTCTTTTCATTTTTTTCAACGAAATAATTTTTCTAAGAGATACACAAGCAGCAATTTATAACAAATTTCTCAAAAATAGCGAAACTAATTTAAATTTTTAGAATATTTGGTCGAAATATCTCGTTATGGGCTGCGATTGCCACCAATAATTATAATTTCCAACTAATTAATTTTAATTCATAATATTATTTATTTACAAATAAATAATTGCCATCAATTGGCTTAAAATTAACATTTATTAACGGTACAAGTAGTGCTATAAAAACCTAAAAATAGTCGACTTTCTCAGAAAATAGATTGATATTTCTTTTTCAAAAATAAAAAAAATAAAAAAATGGCTTATCATTTTTTCCATTTGCGGATGCACATAAAAATTGAGATTTTAACTGAAAAAATAGCGCTATTCTGCCCTAGATATTTATTGTATTAATTCTTTGTTGCTATTCATAAAATATTCAAATCTAGGAGTTTTTGTTGTTTTTGCTGCTGGTTGCGCTGTTTGTTGGATTAAAAAGTTGTTTAATGTGATCTTTATGCGGCAGAACCGGCAACCACACCTACGTATTTTCTTATTTTCTCTTCAACAACTACAAAAGATATAGATCAAGGGGAACTTTCTTACCTTAAAAATTTTAAAACATATCAAAACAAGATAAAATATATGCAAAATAAGGCTCACTGCGGCGGATGGGGTCTTTTTGATCTCGGAAGTTTTAGCAAAATTTTTGATAGTGGTGATGCCTTTTTGTCCAACAATCTCTTTTTCTTGAATAATTGTTTTTCAAAAATTGAATGTAAATAATATATTTGTAACGATGTAGACAAATAAACAGCAATAATAATAAAAATTAATTAATTTTTTCACAATAATTTCTCTATAAGAACTTTGCCTAATTTGATCTCCTGAAATATAGTCTTATTGCAATGATTAAAACAGACACTCTTTTTAATTTTTTAGGTCGAGTCACTTCTTTAAACTCTTAGAGATTATAAATATAATTATAATCAATGCGAATTTCAATTAAATTTACATCCTTATTCTTTGATTTTTATAATTAAACCCTCATTGAAGGCGCAAATATTTAAAAAAGATAGAAATTAAATTTATTATTTTTGCTCAAAGAAAATGGAGCCTCTGTAATCAAATTTCCAGACCAAAATGGATGACTTTATTTTCCAATTGTTCATTAACCTCTTCGAAGTCTGAAATCGAGCGTGATGAGTAAAAGTCGAAATGAATCCGCGCAGCTGCAATTTTCGCCTTTTAACTTTTGGCGTGCGAGCCGCCTAGAGCATTTTCGCTGCTGCGGTGTGTGCAGTGGCGCGCGCGTTTCGACGAGCACGTTGACCCGCATTCGTTTACTTGCATTGTCTTGGTGTCGTCGGCGGCTCTTCTCATTATATTCCTCTCTGATTTTCTCGTGATGCCCGAGGGCTTTGTTTTCACGCCGCCGCGATTTGCCTTTTTTCTCATCCCATCTCCTGCGCGCGCTCTCGCGACAATTAAAACGAAATCGCACGCCATACCGATGTATCTTTTATAAATTTATATATTCTTTCGCTCTCACACGAAATTTCAGATCTGTATGGTATTAATTGTTTTTAATTTCACCTCCGAAATTGAAAAAAAAAACTTTCCTTTCGGTAAATTCCGGAAACGATCGAAGAAAAACCGTTCATTTTCTCTTCCGACTTTTAATTACGCTCTTCGCCGAATTTGGCACCTTCAATTTTTTCCTCTCGCCAACGACCTCAAATTTTTACATTCCTTGCGGAGAATCTTCTCAAAATCGTGCACAGAAGCGCCTTCTTTCCTCATCGTGATCGGTTGACCTTTCAAAGGTTAAAAAAAAATCCAGAAAGACTTGTTGATTTAATTGAAGGTTTTCTATCAGGACATCAATTACTCATCAGGTTAGAATTTATTTGAATTATTTCAGAGTTCGTTCCTTCTAGAAAGACTAAAAAAACTTATATTTCATACCTTCAAAGCTAAATAATCTATTTGCAAATTTAAACCGAATTTGTAAAAGTCTTGTTTTTCCATTCGCTCTTTTTTATTTTTCGCTCTTGGCCCTTGGGATTGCTTTGTTTATATTCAATTTGAAAGCTCGGTTTTAAATTATTGATTGAATGAGAATATTCAAAAGTTTTTTTTTCTCTTTGGGAAAAATCAATCTTCAAATGTCTTAAATAAAGTTTTTATGTTATTCTGCACGAGAAATATGTGATTGCGTTTCTTTCGATCAATTTGGATTTAGCAAAAAGTTGTACACATCTGTCTTGGTATAATTTATTATTGACACAGCTGTGGTAGAAATTTCAAATATCTAATTATAATTTTTTAAACTGAAATTAAAAACGGTTTTTAACTTTAATATTTGTTTAACTTTTTCTCCTATTTTAATAATATTCATTTTTTTCTTGTATTTGTTTTCATAGGAGTGCAATTTTCCCCCAAAAGTAATCGGATAACATTGAAATTGATTAGCGTATTATTTTACAATTCTCTACTTAAAAAATCAACAAAGTGCGCAAGTCAAAGTTTGAATTTTTTGTAATATAATTTTATTTTATCATTTAAATTCCTCAAAAATTGCATGCTCTTGTAAAGAAGATCGAAGTTAAATAAAAGAAGAACGTTAAGAAACTTTTAAATTCTGATAGATCTTTTTTTAATCCGTGTTTCTCCACTTCAATTTTTAATTACCGCTTTTCTCTCTCCCAGCCTCCCTTTCTTCGTTTTTTTTTATTTTTCATTGCATTGCTGCTCG